AGGCGGTGGTGCCAACAGTGCTCTGAGCGTCGGTGATATTGAGATCGATCTACTCCAATTGGACTTTGTGTACACTACCTATCGCATGGAACCCAATCTCACCGATCGTGTACGCCTTCCCAAACAACTCTATTTCCACACGTGGTGCCCTCGTCTCATACAAAAGAGCATTTCAGATGATGCTGGTACACTGGAACTGCTTCACAATGCGGACATTCCACGCAGGATGATCCTGTTCTTCACAGATTTGACGCATGGTACACAGCCAGCATTGGCTGGAGTTCAAGCATCGCATTCTTCGAACAGACTGGCCATGATTCATGCAAATCTCAGTCAACTTCGTGTCACTGTCAACGACCAGACGCTCTTTGACAACCCGCTCAAGTTCCAGTGGGATGTGAGTCGTAATACTGAAGGGCAATACTTCTACGATTACAACAAATCCTCCTACCTGCGTGGCTACAATCTGGTTCAAGACTTTTTCGGCAAGACGTATGGAACGCAAATCCCCATCACCGCTGCAGATTACTGCAATCACTACTTTATGGTGCCTATCAACTTGAATCTGGATCGGACCACAGACAATCCAAGATCGAGAGGAAATCTGTCCATCGACTATCAATTTAGCGACGTGACAAACGCCCCCGTGAGGAGACCTAGCGAAAATGGCGCCTCGATCAAAGTCAACCTTCTCTGCATGGACAAGTACTTGTACACCATGAGCAAAGATGAAGGTATCAAAGCCGAAGTTGTATGAATTAATTCCGACCTAGTAGTAAAAGGGCATCATGGAAGGTGGTGACCTGGAGACCAGACATCGTGTCTACGGTGGTGATTTGAAAACATCGAGTCGACAACACGGTGGATTCTTCTGGAAAAAGAGCTTCTGGAAAAACCTAATCGGTGCTGGACCGGATGAGATGGAAAAGCAGATGGCGGAACCCACGACAAAACAAGATGCAATGCAACGCGGTGGACTTGGACCCCTGGCTGCCATGGCAGGAATGACACTTCTTCCCATGCTTTTGGGGAGAGGAGAGTCCGGAGACATTGTGGAAGCGCAAATGAAAACAGCTTACAACCCTGCCATGCACCGAGGAGGTCTAGCCATTCCACCAGGATTAGCCGCCAAGGCCATACCACTCCTGACGAACCTGGCTGCTCCCTTGGCCATGGGTACCATGGCATCACTGGGTGACAACGTAATGGATAAAATATTCGGCAGAGGAGTAAGGAAGGGAAGCTCAGCAGGTGCCATGAAGCGCACTAAAAGTCGTCGTCGGCGGCATGCACCGAAGAAGATTCGTCAACGAGCATCTCGAAAAACCAAGAAACCAGCTCGTCAAGTTCGCTCCAAAGGCCGCAGGGCACGAGGAATAAAGAAACAAGGAAGGGCCTTGTTCAAAAAACTAGGACATCGTGCCCTCGACGAAGCTTCATCGTTCCTGTCTGCACCTCGTAGATCCCTAACCCGTCCTGAAACTCCATTTGCTCAAAAAATTCGACAGAACATTAACAGTGCAGGACCGTCTTCTATGAGTTCCGCTCACATCGGTCCATCCTACAACATCTGATCATGGACTTTATCTCGCTCCTTGGACAGGAAATCGGGAGGAAGAAAAAGACTAGTCCCGTAAGGAACGACGATGTTCCGACCACGGCCACTGCTCGACACGGGCTGCACATTCCTGGTCTTCAGTTCGAGTCTAAGGATTGGTTCACGGAAATCATTCCTGCTCTGAAATCCTGGGGTCAAAACGTATTGTTTCTGGGACAGAGCAACATGGGTAAATCCTACTTTCTCATCAAGCTCCTGAAACGTGTGCAACCTGAGCGTATAGTTGTCATCTCCAACACGCCGGCCGATCAGTATCGTCTCCCAAGCCTCAAATCCTTCAAGCATTACAGCACCATGCCCGAGTGTATCGAAGACATGGATCTCCAGCCTAACACCTATGTGATCATTGATGACATCAGAGTGATGGGTTTGAAGCACGGCAGCCAAAGAGAGTGTCTCTACAAGTTCTTCACCATGTACAGTCATCATCATAAGTTGAACGTGTTCTTTCTCTCTCAGAGCTTTGATAACATTAAGGACATGAAGATCAATGCAAACTTTATGTATCTATTTCGCTTCACTGATAAAAGCAATATCAAGCGTTATCTCAATACTCTGTTTGGTGGTCTGTGCACGAAGTCATCCATTATCTTTAGATTGTATGAGAAGTTATTGGCGGTGTGTCGCAGACCTATCCTAACCATTGATTGCTCTTCTAATCAGTACTACACGTATTGCGAAGACACTGCATTAAAGGTGACTTTTGAATAAAAACCTCGTTGATGTGCGTGTTTAGCCGAAAAGTTAGCCGAAAAGTTAGCCGAAAAGTTAGCCGAAAAGTTAGCCGAAAAGTTAGCCGAAAAGTTAGCCGAAAAGTTAGCCGAAACATTGAAAAAAAAATTCCAATCATGAATAAGAATGGAGCATCTTACGGTGAAATTCTCAAATGGGCTACCGAGCAGTATACAGAGGGTGGGGTCCAGAAAGGGATCCTTCTCGATACCCAAGCGTAAAAGGTTGCAAACCTTGCAGTTTATGTCGAAACATCCTCAACACATCCTCAAGAAGAGAGTAAATTCGTGGGAAGTTCTCGGTATACCACCACTCATGCGGCAAAAAGGAGGTAATAACTACAATACCTACTTGAAAAGCGTCAAGAAAGTTCTTTCCCAAGTGCCAGATCACAGTTTGAGCACCTCCACCCTGTTGGAACTGCAAGCTGATCCGCGAGTAAAGCGTCTATATGACACCCACTTCAAAAACAATCCCGATCACATCAGTTACCCGTCTGTGAGAAATGTGATTGCATCCAACATACTCAACTATGATTCCACTACCGATCAAGTTCGCGATTCCGTTGCAGATGTCAGGAAGAAGAGAAAGGCACCTTTAACATCAGTGCCTTTCAATCTATTACAAGACCACGAATTTGACCGATGGATCCTACAAATCCTGGACAGTTTCCTCCGACATACAAATATACCGGCAACCTTTTTGAAGAGCAACTATTTCACAAGCCGATCACAACTGCTGCAACTCTACGATGAAGATCGACTGAGGTTCAGGAGTCGGGTGGAAGCGGCTGCGGATGCCCTGAAGACGCAGACGATGAACGACTACACTACTCTGGTCAACGAGACGAATCGCATCTACATGTCCAGGTACCCGTTTGCAACCATAGCGGGTGCGGTGGGAATCCACAAACATGTCGATGGATTCCTTCGATCAGAACGAAAGATTCATGAACTAGCCACCCTAGTGCTAGCTGTACCGGGATCGCAGCTCAAGTTTCAAGATCTCAACGATATGACTTCTACGTATGGTAGAACAACTGAAGCAAAATTGATCCATCCCGAGCATTTCATGATCAGAGCACAAAAGGTGATGGTGGACGATGCATCATTCATTCAAGAGGTTCTGAAGGATAAAAGCAGGATCACTCGTATCATCAAGGATATCCTGAGTGGACGTTCAATGTGATCACGTGCGCGAAAATTTTCAGGCTATGATCAAGAATGGACTACCCTCTCAGCAGTGCCGACATCAAAGGAAGATTGAATGGTGTCGGAGGGTTCGTGGGGTGTACAAGTTACGATCTCTTACCACCCTTGAACAATGGAGACTTTTGTATCGTCAACACCGACAACGTTCTACCGGTGTACGATGCACCGGAAGGTGGACATCATTGGTTGACCGTGTGTCGCGAGCAAAACGTGATCCTGGTTTTTGACAGTTTCGGACGCAGTCTATACACTATGGAGCAAGATTACACTGAACCTGCACTGTGCGATTTCTTTAAAGAAGCCTATGTAGACTGTAAGATCATCACCAACACCCAAGCCGTTCAAGACAGAAGCACAGCAGTATGTGGATGGTATGCCATATTGATGGGAAAGCTATTTTCCAAATATGGTCTGGATGAAGCACTTCGAATTTTCCGAAGAGTCTTCGATGAGGATGAAAAGCTGGAAAACGATCAACTGGTTCTCAGTTTAGGTGTCTTGCGAGGTGGTGGAGCCTTGTGGGATACGAAAGTGCAAAAAGCACTTCATGATGGAAGACAGAAGAAGAAGTCGCAGTCCACACCATTCCACACGCAACTGGCTAACGAATTGCACAAACCCAGACGAGTGCATTTCAAAAGACGCAAGGTGAAGAGCAGGTCTGTGGATCACATCTGGAGTGCCGATCTAGTGGATATGCAACGGTTTGCCCGAAGCAACAAGAACTACAAATTCCTGCTGACCGTCATCGATCTGTACAGTCGCTATGCCTGGGCAGTACCCCTGAAAACCAAAACTGGCTCTGCTGTCAGGGATGCATTCGACCTGATCCTGAAAACATCGAACAGGGTACCACAAAAACTATGGGTAGACGAAGGCAAGGAGTTCTACAATGCAACAATGAAGCAATGGGTCAAGGATCACAACATCATCATGTACAGCACCCACAACGAAGGAAAAGCCGTGGTGGTGGAACGCTTCAATAGAACACTGAAAGGCAGAATGTGGCGCCATTTCACGGAGAAAGCTACGACACAGTATCTTGACGTCCTTCCTCAGCTTATGGTCAAGTACAACAGCTCGAAACATCGCAGTATCGGCATGAGTCCCACGAAAGCTTCTCTTGATGGAAAACCAAAAGATGCAGACGTACACTCGAAGCAATCACCAGCTAAATTCAAAGTGGGTGATGATGTGCGTTTGGCTGTGGCTAAACGTCATTTCGAGAAAGGGTACACGCCCAACTGGACAGAGGAAGTGTTCGTGGTAAACGATGTCCTACCCACTGTACCTCACACCTATCGTGTTCAAGACCTGATGGGAGAAGTCATTCAAGGACAGTTCTATGGAGCTGAGCTACAACATGCCAGACACACAGGATTGAGATTCGATAAGGTGTTGAAATACAACAAGAACAGTCGGCTCGTCAAATGGAAGGGTTATCAAGACGAAAAATTCCATACCTGGTTAACAAAGAAGGATGTGAATGATCTCAAAAAGTATTAGCATTTCATATGTACAATGTAGCTCATGCTTTGGATTAACGTGAATATTATGAATCGCATAGTATTTACAATGTATTTCATGAGAAGATATGACATATGCTCTAGTATGTGTGGAAATCCCTCAGTGCTTTGGAATATCCTTGTGTCCGAATGCCAGGGTGTTGATACCATCCTCCAGAATGTAACGCTTACTGTCGAATCCACAGAGGGCAATCTTGCGTAGCTCCTCTCCGTGAATGCAATGTCGTCGACTTCGAAGAACATTCATTGTTCTCTTCAGCTGAGACTCCTCGACGAGACATGTTCGATAATCATCGACGGTTATGGTGTTTTTCAACACGCTTCTCTGCACACCTTTGGCACGCTTGCCATTGTCGTCGTTGTCTTCACAGCGGTATGCGTACATCTTGCTCCGCAAACCAATGAACTCCTTGATGGGTTTGCCACCTAGTTCGTCCTTGAACTTCCCTACCACCTTCTTGTTGACCGTGCTGTACAGGTGGTGGGATGGTGAATAGTTGGATGTGTCATAGGCTGTTATGTTGTTTGACATATCGGTGTACAGATCATCCGTTTGAATATGTACGATCAGACTATCAGTATCAGTGTAGAGCAAACGTACATTTTGTCCATAGCGGGGTAGGAGAACTTCATAGTAAAAGGAATACATCAAGTGCTTCGACAGATCGAGGATGGCTGTACCCACATAAATGGGTTTATTGAGAGTCACCTTTGTCTTGGCAAACTCGATTGCTATCAGATCGTTCTCAAAGGCTACACTGCGGATGTACGAAGGTTTGTTGATGCTTTTCTGGAGACGTGGTTTTTCATCCTGTTCACGAATGAGCTTGATGTTTACTCTGTTTCGAACGTTTTCCATGGTCTTGCCATATACAGCATTGTTCATCAACTACGATAAACAGGCATACAAAGAAAAGACAAGAAAAACAACAATAAGAAAACTGTTATCTTCAGGTCATTCACACTTCCAGTACATACTAGATCCCACACTATCGCTAAATACACACACACACACACACACATGATGTGGAGTACCCACCTTATAGAAGTCTTTCTCGAAATCAGAAGTTGATAGCTTTCTCAGGTCAGTATTAGTGTCGATGTATGGCTTCATCCATGGATGTTGTGTGAAGGAGAGCACACGATGCACATCTGTAATCTCCACACCCAAGGACACATACTGCTGCAAGTTTCTGTAGTGCAGAACATAGTGCTCTTTCGGTAGTAGATTTGGTACCAGTTTCTTCGCTTCCAAACCGGTCACCTACAAGAGTACAGTATAGATATACACAAACCTTAGAAGATTAATACAAGCATATCCACCAGATAGACCATGACTTACCATTAGTTTCTCTGCCATGTGGGTCTGATATGGAGAAAGCATATCTCGTGTCACCTTCATCTGCTCAGGAGCCAACGGATAGTCATTCATCATGTCATGCACACCATCTGGAATCCTTAAATCGCACTCCACCATGTATCCCGTCGAAGAGTCCATTGGATGATCCAGTACCGTCTCCAGAAGATCATCCGTCACTGCTTCAAAGCAGAAGTCCGACACGGGCAAGGGTTGAGACATGGCCCATCCATATAGATTGTTCGCATCTAAATATTGGATGAAGCTTGACGGCTCGTCTGGATTGTATTCCGATAGATATCTGTTGTTGGCGGTGGCGTGTCTAGCGGACACCATGCTTATGCCACCTCTTTTGCCATGCTCAATGAAGTTGAACATGTCAATGTCGGAAATGAGATGAAGGGACACCTTCGTCATTTTCAGCAGCGAATCCCAGGCAAATCCCGGTAAGGTGAGGTAATTAGCGGGATCCAATCCATAGGTTGCGTGAGCAGTTCTTCTGAAGTTTTCGAAAACGTCAGCCAACAGCAGCACATCAGTCTCCAGGTAGAGGTCGTGATAGTCTCCTAGATCTTCACAGTCAAACGCAGTCCATACTGTTTGTGCATAGGCATAGTCTTCATCACTGATACCCTAGGGAATAGAAAATGTACACCAAAAAGAAAAACAAATCAACGAACTTATTTTAGTAGTTCGCCCACACAATCAATTATTTAGTATGAAGCTGCAGGAAGCGTTCAAACACATTTTGGCTTATTTTAGTACTTCGAAGTAAGATGGTGAAAAAAGAAAGAGAGAAAGATCTACTATATCTATCACACTACTCACCGTGTTCGTTAGCGTTGAGTGGAATGCATCCTTGGGTGGTAGACGCGTTTCTTCGAATTGGTCGTACGACCCCATATATTCATACGGGTAGACACCCTTTCGTGTCAACAGTTTGCGTTCATCCTCGTCTGGAAATCGTGCGGATAGAAGGGCGAATGCATCTGGTGGTGTGGCCGAAACCAACCGGTCTAGGGAGGTGTTCAAGAATGCCAGGCTGTCGATGAACTGGAACTGTCTCCATCCGAATGTGACATATTTTTCACTGTTGATGGGAATCACTTTGATAGCACCGAGACGCTTGGTCTGAGAAGAAAGAAAAAGAGGAGACACAGTTTTAAGGTGCATCTGTAAAGATGAATATCAATCATATAAACGTGAATATGAGTACCAACATAGTAATGATCTTCCTTCTTAGAAAAACATCATGATCCACGCACACACACACACACACACACACACACACACACACACACACACACACACCACGCATATGTAACGTACCCGTTCTTGTCCTTTCTCGTTCACATACGTAATCTCATCAATGGACGTTCTCCCAATGGCAGATATGATGTGATGAGAATCGTATCCCTTCAAGTTATGAAAGATCACAGGAATCTTGATCTTGAACGGCTCAATCCGCATGTTCAGGTTACAATGGTTGTGTGCTGCACCACGGTAAGCACCGGTGATGTGACAGTGGTCACGTACACGATCGCTACCCAACGCTTCACCACAGATCCAACAGGAGACTACCGTTTCAAATTCACGTTGCTGACTTTCTGAAATGATCATTTGACCAGCATTACATGCTAGAAGCTCATCACGGATAGTCTCCTCCTCTTGCTCAAGTGACAGCAGAAAACAGAACATAGAATCTTCTCCACGGTAGAAGAAACGGTTCGTGACGACGCCATCAGATCGTACTACAATGTACGAACAGGAACAGGCTACATGCTTGTTCTTTTGGAATGTCGAATGACCGATTTTCTTGTCAGCGGACAGAGGTTCTATGAAGGCCTCACAATCGGCATAGATCACCTGCATTTGAGAGAGAGAGAGAGAGAGAGAAGTAGGAATAGCAGCAGGGACAACATCGAGTAAAACAGCGGAAAAGACAGATAGAGAATTAGGAATAGCTGCAGAGACAACACCGAGTAAAACAGCAGAAAGGTGAACAATCAGAGTCAAGAAACATGTGCAGGAAAGAAAAGAAATGTGTTCACCTTGATTAAATGTTCTACTTACAAATGGGGCTTGAAGCTGCTTGTTCACATTCCTGAACATCACTCTATCGCCAGCCTTTGGCATCTTCACCGTGGCTTCAGGATGTTCACTGCAGTACATCATATGATTATTCAATGCCTTCTCCGTGACGTGTGTTGAGAGACATCTGAAGCAGACGAAATGTGCTCGACGTGCTCCAGTAGCAACAAGACGACTGAATGATTTTATCCACACCCAGTGCTGCACCTCCACGTCATTGCGTTCGTCTTGGATGAGCAATACATTGATGGCGGATTGCGGATGCTGAGAAATTCTTAACGGATATATGACTTTCTCTTCATATCCGAAGACGTTGATGTAAAGACCGTCGTTCAGTCTTTCGATGACTGGTATGTCTTCCAGTTTTGCTGGAAACTCGATGCCGCTCACATCCACAGTATCCGCATGTTCTGCGTACGACGATTGACGACATGGATGAGACTTGTCTGCCGAAAATTTAGCAGCCAGTATTGACCATCTAAAGTACGGATGACATAAGACATGGACAGGCGTCATACAGTTCAATCCATACACCGTATCACCACACTGAAACCCCACTGCTATACTTACAGTAAACACTTGTTGTCAGTGTTCTGCACGTTAACAATGGCCTTCTTCGACTTCAACTCCGGTGGCAAGGGGATGTACGAACTTCCTCCAAGTACACAGTAGCGTGACATTTCGATGTGTAAACAGGAAATCCGTTCAACTACCCAACCTGATCCATGACGAACGAAATCATCAAGACGAGCGTTGATCTGAGCAATCATCCTACTGAGAAGGTCCCTCAGCTCCATGGTGTTGAGCACCAGCGTTGTACTCGATCGGAAGAAGAATGTGTTGGAAACCATTTGTCCTGTAGCAGGATTCAGCTTCTGCATCACCACCTGAACTATCAAAGAACACTTGTACTGACCCCATTGCTCAATATTCTCTTCAAGAAGCAGCTCCAGCGACGGTAGAACATGAGAGAAAAACTTTAGTACATCTGCAAACTCTTGATCAGGACAATAACTAAAGAATTGCAACAGATCAGATGATCTCACTACATCAAAAGACTGACGAGGTTTCTTCCGAATGGGTTCCATCCTGAGCAGGGGTGGTGGCGGACAACCACACAATGGCTTGACAAGGTACCGAGGATCTATTTTTATAGGGTTTTCGTAATAGTTGAATTCGGAATAACTGGTTGTTTTTCAATTAACCAATCCACTCATCTCCCGCTGGAAACAATTAACCACTTACCGCACTTCCCGCTGAAAACATGTGACCAATTAGCGCACTTCCCGCTGAAATCACATTCATCCTTTTATCGCGCATTGACCCATGTTCCACACTTCACAGTGAAATCAGTGCTGCAATGATGTACTGTGACGTCAATGCATGGATGCATGATCTGTGCATCTGAGGTCAAGATGAATCCGGTATTCCAGCAGCTAAAAGTTCGAGAAAGAATTGTTGTATGTCGAAAAGAATTATACGAGAGGAAAGCTAGAAAAATTCTACACCTCATGGACCTTTCGATTACGGACATAGATGGAAAACTAATTGACTTATGTCAATGGAAAGATTCCAAGCCCGAACCAAAAAAGACACGACATGTCGCGAGCAACGTTTTGGTTTTTGGCGCGCACCGTGTTCACCGTGTTCTCCAAGGTCGTCACCTTCCCGGAGGCGGGACCCGGCGGGACGGGACTTGGCGGGACCTATAAAACCTGATATAATTTCATTTTTGGTTCACAATTCATTTTTGAGTCCATTGGATGATCGAGTACCGTCTCCAGAATTTCTCTCTCTACCAGATCAAAGATGTCGGCCTGGTCAACATCCGAACCGTATGTAGAGAAGTTTTATTTATTTTCTTGTAGTAATAAAGATGAATTAACCGTTCGGTTACTCACCGATCTGGGTACAGCTTACGAGCTAAGACCCATGCTTCTTCACCCGGATCGGACGGACTTGACTCCCATGGAGATTGCACAGTATCTGTGCAGGGTGTCGACGCGCGTTCTCGTGAGCGGTGAGAAACACCAGCGTCTACCGAAGATCGTTGTTGATGGTGTAGAAGATTATGGATCATCATCATGGAGAGATACGGGCAGACTGCTCCGCTGCTGGGACGACGGACGAAGATCGATGTACAACGTGATGAAGGTTGCAGGTGTTCTGGATATTGTCGAAGAGACGTTTGCAAATGGAGAGCAGATTGAAGTTCAGGAACTCATCCGTGTCATCAAGGATCTCAACGATCGCAAGGTCTTTCGAAAAGACGGGGATTCACAAGCGACGACGAAATCTGTCCGCCTCTCAGTGATGTCGACGAGGATAACCCGTGTTGTTGCGCGTGTCGGCACGATCGACATCGACGATGAAGGATATCCTAAGAAGATGCCGGAAGTCTCGTGTGATTATGTTGTAAGCCGGAAGCGTAAGGCCGATGATGACCTGGATGAAGCAATTGTGACGATTCAGGCTTCGAATACAGCTCCAATCATCGAAGTTTCCAGGAAGCGCTCCTGGGTAGTACCTTCTCAAGATATCTTTGATTGCTAGACTCTCTCTCTCTCTCTCTCTCTCTCTCTCTCTCTCTCTCTCTCTTCCTACCAGGCGTGAGCCATCCCCTGGGTGAACAAAATGGGTGCTATCTTCTCTCTCTCTCTCTCTCTCTCTCTCTCTCTCTCTCTCTCTCTCTCTCTCTCTCTCTCTCTTCCTACCAGGCGTGAGCCATCCCCTGGGTGAACAAAATGGGTGCTATCTTCTCTCTCTCTCTCTCTCTCTCTCTCTCTCTCTCTCTCTCTCTCTCTCTCTCTCTCTCTCTCTTCCTACCAGGCGTGAGCCATCCCCTGGGTGAACAAAATGGGTGCTATCTTCTCTCTCTCTCTCTCTCTCTCTCTCTCTCTCTCTCTCTCTCTCTCTCTCTCTCTCTCTCTCTCTCTTCCTACCGGAAAATGATCCGAAAAATTGAAATTACAAGTCAAAATACTGCAAAACTATGAGTTCTGATTAATATAAAATTGGAAAAAGTGAGATAACATTGACATTTGAAATAGTAATATTTTAGACATCGGAATGCAATATTATGATGTAGGGTAGGACATATTACCCACACCCTAAAAATCAAAATTAATGATACATGTAGAATTCCAAATCATGACACCATATTACCTTATTGTTTAGGGTAGAGCATAACACCCCAATACATATTTTCAATAATACCCCATTTTTTTTTTGAGGTAGGGGCACCCCCTGGCACATATTTTTATCCGCAAAAAAACCGGGCCAAAAATAATTTTCACCGCAAAAATGGGGTACTATTAGTACCCCATTTTTCAATAATACCCCATTTTTTGGGACCCGGGCGCCCCCTGGCCCAGAACCCGCTCGTACATTCCTACTAATCACTGGTTACGTAATCACTGGTTACGCAATCACTGGTTACGTAATCACTGGTTACGTAATCACTGGTTAGGCAATCACTGGTTACGTAATCACTGGTTACGTAATCACTGGTTACGTAATCACTGGTTACGCAATCACTGGTTACGTAATCACTGGTTACGCAATCACTGGTTACGTAATCACTGGTTACAGTAACTGCCTACACTGTGGGCCGCGGAGTCCTCTACTTTCCAACGCTGACCTTTTTCATCAAGACGTGCACACACACCCTGCCATAGGGTGCTGTTGCCCAGTGTAATGGCAGCCTGCCAGCTGTGTCCTGTGCAGAAGAAGAACATACAGCAACAAAACAAAACAGTCAGCCAGCCAGCCAGCCAGCTACAGCAACCTTTTTTGCATTTGAAAATACTACACTCAAACTACACTCCCGGAAACAAGGCTTGAAACACACAGAACTACTACAATGTAGTGCTACATGTAGTGTCGTTATCATGTTATCATGTTATCATGTGATTATGTTATCATGTTGATCGGATTTGCCACAGCAGCTTTTAATTGCCTACACGGTGCACCTGACAGTTTGCATCATACCCACATTGACTGTTCTGTGACGTGCAAGCTGCTAACCATCATCATGCCGACCGATACGATGGATCATCATTACTGTCTGTTGACTTGCCTACGTAAACCATTGAGTGGATGAGCCAGGCAACTAACTATTTCTTATCCTTATTCTCACGACTCGGGCCGTAACCAATTATTAGGGAGCTAGGCATACAAGTATACGTTAGCAAGCAGGTTGTATTGGGCATGATGTGTGGTGTATTGGGCATGATGTGTGTTGTATTGGGCATGATGTGTGGTGTATTGGGCATGATGTGTGTTGTATTGGGCATGATGTGTGGTGTATTGGGCATGATGTGTGGTGTATTGGGCATGATGTGTGGTGTATTGGGCATGATGTGTGGTGTATTGGGCATGATGTGTGGTGTATTGGGCATGATGTGTGGTGTATTGGGCATGTGTGGTGTATTGGGCATGATGTGTGGTGTATTGGGCATGATGTGTGGTGTATTGGGCATGATGTGTGGTGTATTGGGCATGATGTGTGGTGTATTGGGCATGATGTGTGTTGTATTGGGCATGATGTGTGGTGTATTGGGCATGATGTGTGGTGTATTGGGCATGATGTGTGGTGTATTGGGCATGATGTGTGGTGTATTGGGCATGATGTGTGGTGTATTGGGCATGATGTGTGGTGTATTGGGCATGATGTGTGGTGTATTGGGCATGATGTGTGGTGTATTGGGCATGATGTGTGGTGTATTGGGCATGATGTGTGGTGTATTGGGCATGATGTGTGGTGTATTGGGCATGATGTGTGGTGTATTGGGCATGATGTGTGGTGTATTGGGCATGATGTGTGGTGTATTGGGCATGATGTGTGGTGTATTGGGCATGATGTGTGGTGTATTGGGCATGATGTGTGGTGTATTGGGCATGATGTGTGGTGTATTGGGCATGATGTGTGTTGTATTGGGCATGATGTGTGGTGTATTGGGCATGATGTGTGGTGTATTGGGCATGATGTGTGGTGTATTGGGCATGATGTGTGGTGTATTGGGCATGATGTGTGGTGTATTGGGCATGATGTGTGGTGTATTGGGCATGATGTGTGGTGTATTGGGCATGATGTGTGGTGTATTGGGCATGATGTGTGGTGTATTGGGCATGATGTGTGGTGTATTGGGCATGATGTGTGGTGTATTGGGCATGATGTGTGGTGTATTGGGCATGATGTGTGTTGTATTGGGCATGATGTGTGGTGTATTGGGCATGATGTGTGGTGTATTGGGCATGATGTGTGGTGTATTGGGCATGATGTGTGGTGTATTGGGCATGATGTGTGTTGTATTGGGCATGATGTGTGGTGTATTGGGCATGATGTGTGGTGTATTGGGCATGATGTGTGGTGTATTGGGCATGATATGTGGTGTACTAGTAATTTTTTTTGTAATTTTTATTGTTTAAGGATTCCCCAAAGGCTTTCGCCTATCGAGGGGGTTTCCAATCTTTCCATAATAATAATAACAAATCTGTAAAATAGTAATAGAGCATCATGACACTGTCTGTTAGCCTGAACTGCTGAAGATACGTCACGCTTACCCTAGTTACCATGGTTACAGTTAGCAGCTTACGGCCGGCTACGTAAGAATTAGTTGGTTTCGGATATCCGGAACTGTTATGACATAATACATAATGCATGTCTACAGCAGGGATTAGAGCATGATTGTGCAGATTGATGATAACACGAGTGCCCGGTCTTCTTCTTTGAACGCGCGAGGTTCCTGCTCGGCATGGCAGCTCAAGTTTCCGGTACTTGTGAGAGGTGGAGCGAGCCTAGCCGTGTGGGCAGGATGGCGGGGGTGGCACTGGGTGAATCAAGACTTCAAGTGGAGACTCCATACTCCCGGCTGGGTTCACACTAATCGCAGAGCCTCGCACAGCCTCACAGAGTCACAGAGCACTGATCCTAGTATAGTGCCAATAAAACCTGCTGTGGCAGGAGACCGGCACTCGAAACGGAAACATCGATCATGGAAGACGCGTAACCGCGGAGGACATCACGCCTTCACTCAACGTTATAATAATTCTAGACTCGGCAAACACAAACTAAACGTCGCGCCAGATGTGCAGAACTAGAAACCTCGTAGTCGTAGGAACTTGAGAAGTGGTGAGAAACCCCTGCTGGCCTGGGTGTCAAAGCAACACAACGATTATGGCAAGTCAAAAGAGGTCTTGGCAGATAATGCGCTTCGCTGGTTCTAGCACAGCTGCAAGACTGATGACGAGGCGCACCATCTCTTTCTACCAGAATCGCTGGAACAGTGGAAGGGAGACCGAAACCACCTCCAACCGATGCTTTTCGGCAACTCCAACTATACTACGTGTAGCAAGTACATGTAGTTTGAGTGTACTTGGCACTACATCAACAACGCCAACGGTACGAGTGCCACCACGCACGGCACCAGGTAGTCTACCACCGACCCTAGCAGCTGCCAACGTCGTGACATGTCGCTAGCTACAGACTTCAGGAAGATACGTGCGAAACTTGACAGTTGAAGAGAAGATCTACAGATGTGGCATGCAATACGCGCCACAGACTGATCATGCCTTCATAACTCTCTCGCCACAGGAAGTACAGCTCGAGCTAACCCACTCGATTCGTCTCAACTGAGTGAAGAGGACCCATACCTTGTAGATGATATCGCTCGACTTCACTGCTTTCTACTGAGTTCTGCTATTGTTGGCGCCTTACTGGTGGTACTGTCCACACACATCCCCGGCTCAACCGTATCACGGGCCTCAGTTTATTATGACCTAACGTCAGCAGTTCCGGCCCGGCAAACCAAGGTTACTTCTTACTCTTAGGTATCCGACTTCTCTTTGCGGTGGAGGTGCCCAAGAAACTTCTCAAAGAGACGGCGGTTTCTGGTGCTCTGTGAGCTCTGTCCTGTGAGCTGTGACAGCCTTGCACGCCAGGGAACATCATCAAGATGGCGACCAATGCAGCAGTACATGTAGTCGATGCTGAGGACAAAAGCAGCGAAGAGTGGGAACTCTTACCGACTACAAAAGATCTCTCGAGTACAATGCCGGTGCGCGGACCTACCCCTTGGCTGGAGAACTTGCGTTTCAAGCTATCTATCGAGACGACGGATACTACTACAGCGCCACAGACAGGCTCACCGCTCCACAAATTCGAAAAGCCAGACTCTAAGATTGTGAGTATCACAACGTCCGCTCCGTCCAGATATAACGACGACGACGACGCTGGTGTTACGGAGCTCACAAGTGAAGAAATGCAAGCGCCGGGATTCGTTGGCAACAAGCTGGTTTTGCATAGTGACAGCTGTGACTTACCGTTAGACCAGTGTGCCTTCACCAACGAACGTGGCTACTTCACCATTGAGGAGATGCTACGGAACATTGCGGCATTTGAAAAACTCGACCGCGCTCATCCTTCCAACATGTGGTTTGGCGGTATTGACCCCCACCATTATTTCTATAAAGGCATCAGCTATGCGGGTGAGACTAAGGATGGTGACAGTAGGTATACTCTCAATTGGCGCAGTTAGCTGGTCACTGACTGTCTCAGTGTGTGCGTGCAGGACAGCAGTACAGCGGCAGACACGTTTCATTTGTTCTCTGTTCGCCTTCTCCGCTACATGTATTTCCATATCCAGTGTCAATGTTAGTCCATCGACTCCAGTAATCGGTTGGCAACACAATTCATCTTTTGCATCTCCGCTTTAAGTTGTTGTCCTCACTGGTCATAACGATTGTGTTGCGTTTAACCATTACTTTGCTAACTACAGCATAGCTAAGTTAGCCATGCAGCTAGCACACTGCTTCATTGCATGAAGTCTCATCAGATCTTCATTATGTACACACTCTTGCAGTCTTGGTGTCTCTCTCGAACTGTCTTGTGTGTGTGTGTGCGTGTGTGTGTGTGTGTGTGTGTGTGTGTGTTGTGTGTGTGTGTGTATGTGTGTTGTGTTGTGTGTGTGTGTGTTGTGTTGTGTTGTGTTGTGTGTGTGTGTATGTGTGTGTGTGTGTTGTGTTGTGTGTGTGTGTTGTGTTGTGTTGTGTTGTGTTGTGTTGTGTTGTGTTGTGTTGTGTGTGTGTGTGTGTGTGTGTGTGTGTGTGTGTGTGTGTGTGTGTGTGTGTGTGTGCCAGCTAGTGTGTGTGTGTGTGTGTTGTGTTGTGTTGTGTGTGTGTGTATGTGTGTGTGTTGTGTGTGTGTGTGTGTGTTGTGTTGTGTGTGTGTGTGTTGTGTTGTGTTGTGTTGTGTTGTGTTGTGTTGTGTGTGTGTGTGTGTGTGTGTGTGTGTGTGTGTGTGTGTGTGTGTGCCAGCTAGTTTGGTTGGTGGGTACACCTCTACCTGATTGTGTTGGGTCTGTTGCCAATGGGCTAGGCTGCTTGAAGGTGTAATGTAGTACCTGCCACCTTTGTTGGTTTCAGGATTCATATACTTTCTATTTGAATTATACATACCTCTTAGCATACACTTCTTCTGGCTAGATTAAATCTTATGTAATCAATGGTGCTAGTCAAGCTTATATCAGATCCACTCTGATTTAGCCACCCACACTAGTAGCAAGTATTACCTTCACTGGGGGCAGGGGTAACTGCAGTTGGATCCCGAGACGGATACCCTGATGCCGTCAATCCTTTTTCTGCACCTTGTCCTCACCTACTTTCTGAGCTGTGGTGAGCCCATAAGTGGGATCATTTTCCAAGTCCACCCGAAGTTTGGGGATTTCAGGGTGTGTCGGCCATTGGGCGGTTCAATAGCCAATTGAGTCATTTTCCAAGATTCCCTTTTGAATCTCTCTCCCCTCTCCCAGGGAGACCCACGGGACCAGTTTTGGCAGTGAGCAAGTACAAGTGTGTATGCGTGCGTGTGTGTGTGTGTGTGTGTGTGTGTGTGTGTGTGTGTGTGTGTGTGTGTGTGTGTGTGTGTCATGCCCAATTATGTTGACTTTGCGATTTCTCTCTCTTCTCTTCTCTCTTCTTGTCGTTGTCTCCCGCTTCTGGGAGCAGCGTGGCCCGATAGGGTAGCTGTACATCGTAGTAGTAGTAGTAGTAGTGTGTGTGTGTGTGTGTTTTCTTTCATTCTCCTGGGTGGTTACCAACAGCCAGTATATGCCGGAGTATGTGGTGTGGTGTGTGTGTGTAGAAAAAAATAAAAAATAAAAAAATGGAAAAAATGGAAAAAATGAAAAATAGGGATTCACTGGCCAGAAAAAGTCACTTCAATCAGCTGTGTGGTGGATACCAGGCTAAAAAATTTTTTTAATTTAATAGTGGCGGTCAATTCATCAGCCTTGCAAGCTGTTGAATGGTGTAATGCCAGCACAAGTTGCTATGTCTAACATAGCTGTTCGCTATCATCGCTTCCGCGATGGGCAGGTCTGAGGTCTGAGGTGTGTGTGTGTGTGTGTGTGTGTGTGTGTGTGTGTGTGTGTGTGTGTGTGTATGTTTGCTTGTGTGTGCTGGTAAAGCCTGTATCAGGTCAACTCTGGTTAGCCACCCACACTAGTAGTACCCAAGTATTATTTTCACTGGCGGTAGGAGTAAATGCAGTTGGCCCCTGATGATCCCGAGCGGATACTCTGATGCTGTCAATACCTTTTCTGCACCTTGTCCCCACCCACTATGGTGTGGGGAGCCCACAAGTGGGATCATTTACAAGTCCACGCAGACGTTGGGGATTCTATGGGGCGTTGGCCGTCGGGCAGGAGTCATTTTTCCAAGATTCCTTCTGAATCTCTCCCCCGGTCTTCAGGGAATTTGGCAGTAAACAAGTAATGTACTGGGAAGTCAAGTGACCACGGGGTGCTGGCCATGCAGCCCGGCGTGAGCACTGCTAGTCCATTTTACAGTGTTACCAGGCCGGTATGCGTAAGCAAGTAAGGGCGCCGGCCCCGGTCATTCCAACGGATTTCAATGTCCACAACAGCACAAGTGTGTGTATATGTGTATGTGTGTGTTTGTGTGTGGGTATTTGTGTGTGTGTGTGTGTGTGTGTGTGTGTGTGTGTGTGTGTGTGTGTGTGTGTGTGTGTGTGTGTATGCTATGTTGCCAGGCGCGTGCGCCAGTGTCTTTCAAGGGGGGTTCCGTCTCCCCCAGAAATATTTTTTTAAATGAAGCAAAATCCTGCATTTTGAGCAAAAAAAGGGGGGTTCCGGGCACCCAGGAACCCTTACGGGGCACGCGCCTGATGTTGCTATGTCTAACATAGCTGTTCGCTATCATCGCTTCTGCGATGGGCAGGTCTGAGGTGTGCGTGTGTGTGTGTGTGTGTGCGTGTGTGTGTGTGTGTACAGACACACAAAGGGAAACAGACGCTGTATTGCTGTTACTCAGAGTTTCATATAATGGCGATCGTCAGCGATGTGATGGCCGCGAACACGTGAAACTCTGAGCCACAGCATTAAAGTGCTAGCTTCCCTTCTCTGTTCCTGTTTAAATGTTTAAAGGCTTTGCACACTTGACAGTAAGTACACACTGTGCAAATGATGTAATGGTGGTGAGCCTGCGGAACTGCTGGTGGGCGCTATCAAGACTGCACAACCGCAACTGTATGCAACTCTGCATATGGGGTCAGTCTCGGTGCGCTGCCCACATTACGTAGCCACGAGCTGTGGGCCATTGTGTCATTGTTGATCTGTTACGGTTTCCTGCTTCCAAATCCGCTTTCCTCGGAGGCTTCGGATGGTTTTGTACGTGATGCGTCATGCACAGCAATTGCCTTTGAACTTACCGTATTGCACGTGAAGTCGTTGAGGCTAAACCGTAGGAAAACTCAAATCCAGGTAGCTGGATCGTCATCCAGTTCACAACGTAATGAAGGCAGTGTGGCGCGCATGGGTACCCATAGCAGGGAAATCAGGAGTTGCACAATCTTGGGGTTATGTACTCTTGACGCTATGTGCACAGAGTGAGTCGCTAGTGCATCGCTGTGTCGCTACTTTGCAAGAATATCTTAACTGATGATGTAATCACCAAAGCATCTCAACTGATGATGTAATCATCTCAACTGATGGATGGGCAAATCCCCCAGAGCTGATAGGATCACCAATGAGATCCTCAGGAAACTGAGCTACTCAATTGCCCGCCACTCTCTATTCTTTTTAACCTTTCCCTCTCTTCCGGCACATTCCTGTCACGATGGAACTCAGCCACTGTCATTCCAGTGTACAAAAATAAAGGCGACAAGAACAACCCGTCTAATTACCGACCAATCTCCCTCCTGTCCTGCGTCTCCAAACTGCTAGAGAGAATAGTGTACGACCGCTTGTACGACCATATCTCCCCTCTTCTTCACCCCGCACAATCTGGCTTCCGTCGTAAGGACAACACATCCCTGCAATTGTCCCGCATAATCCAAGACCTCTGCTCCCTAAAAGACCAGCGGCAGGTCTCCTGCATCTGTTTCTTCGACCTCTCCAAGGCCTTCGACACCGTGTGGCACAAGGGCCTGATCGCCAAACTTCGTGCCCATGGTGTCTCCGGCTCCCTACTCGCCTGGATAACTAGCTACCTCTTGGACCGAAATCAGTGCGTCACAGTAAATGGAACCTTATCTGACCCCGAGTCTGTGACATCCGGAGTGCCCCAGGGCTCCATTTTAGGTCCCCTGCTCTTCCTCACATACGTTAATGACCTCCCCAGTATTCAATTCCCAATACTTCTTTGTTTGCAGATGATACCACTGTCCTTGCTTCCTCCCCATCTCACGCCACCCTGTACCCCAAAGTTCAGACCTGTATCAACGACATTGTTCACTGTATGAGCACTTGGTACCTTAAGCCAAATGTGACCAAAACCGAGCTCCTCCTTTTTCCCCCTCCCACAGATCCAGTGCCCATCTTCCACTTTCCCCATGATCCCGATCACCCTATCTCTGTAGCGCCCCACCATAAACACCTTGGCATTGTCATGGATTCCGCCCTCTCCTGGTCTCACCATGCTGATCATGTGTCACGTCCAAAGTATGCCGATCTGTCGGCATAATGTCAAGTCACTTGTCCCATTTGCCCCAAAATTGCCGGATTAATTTTTATAAATCATACATTCTTCCCCTCTTCACGTACGGCTTCCCTGCCTGGTCCACCATTAACAAAACCCACATAGGTAAATTAGAAGTTCTCCATCGCCGTATACTGCGCATCATATTTCGTACTGATCGTTATATCACAAATCTAGACTTGTATGCTGCTGCATCCGCTACCACTCTGCAACATTACCTTGATGCTTCCAAGTGCACCCTGGCACATTCAATTTTTCTTGACCAGCACCCTGCTCATTTACAGTCCCTTAATTGGTTCAATTCAAGTGGCACCACCCGAAGCTGCGGTCGTCTCCCCCTAGCTAGGTCTACCCTATTCGTAAATTCCCCTTTCTTTTCCTCCTACTCCACGTGGCTCCAACTGCCTCCCAGTGTTAGACAAGCTCCAGATATGCCCAAATTTCGTACCCTCGTCAGACAGCACTTCAGTATCTCCCAGTAAACAAAGTCACAGTCCCCACTTCCGCTGCATAGCTCGCTGAGCATCCCATTGCTTTGTAAGTTGCTAATCCCTTCCCACTTTGTGTACGTGCTCTTCATTTTCTTTTTTTCTCTTCTTCCGTGGTTGGTCTCACCCTCTCCTCAATTCAATTGGCTGTCTTGACATGCCACGAGGTGCAGAAATAAATAAAATAAAATAAAAAATAAAAAATGACGTAATCATATCAACTGATGACGTAATCACCAAAGCATCTCAACTGATGATGTAATCATTTCAACTGATGATGTAAGCACATAACCTCTTTAACAACAGAGCACAAACTGTTACTTTTACTTGTACAAGTAAAAACTACAAGCAGCACACACTGTGTTGGAGCCCACTTTCTTTTACAGCACGACTCCATGCGCTCTTCGCAGTCTTCGGTGATGCTTGTGTAGGCTCAATTGGACTGGCGCACAGGCTCGTTTGCCATTGATCTAAGTGCCGCTGGCAGCGAGTGCTGCATTGAAACAGTGGCAGGGTAGTGTACATGAACTATAGGGCAATGGTATTGGAACACGATCACTCCAGCAGTCCAGCACTTCAGGTCACCATGCAACGTTCCATTTAAAGCTCTTATTGGCGATGGTGCCATCGTGAGAATACAGAATTCAAATTCAAAAAGCTGCAAGAAAACGTGCTGAACATCCCAGGCACACTCGACCATCGATGTGACTTTCCCTGGAAGTAAACCAAGATGCTGCACTCTCGCCACACTTTACAGTAATATGGCGTATCGTACCCAGTGGATTAGTAATGGCCGCCGGAGGTTGCATGCGAATCACAGCCTACCAGATGATCTGTATCGTTACCCGTAGCATTGAACTCACCATAAGACAGGGGTCAGCGCCATGATGCAAGAGCAGTGAGGCCATGCTAGCGTCGCCATCAAAACAGGAAACATGTAGTGCAGTGCTGCCATCTGTCATTCATATCAACACACACACGCACATACACACACACACACACACACACACACACACACACACACATATGTATGCACACACACACAAACATGTGTGCAATCGCATGCAGACATGCACACATGCAGACATACGTTATCTTTATCCCGGATGCTATACAGAATACGCATCGTAGCAGCATCTTGCGCAAGCCAGGGTCATCCACACTTTGTTTTCGTATGTGTATGTGCATTTGGTCAGGTAGACGGGCAGGCCAAACCATGTGACAGGCGTGCAAAGGGTAGGGGTGCGCTAAGCACGGTCGCTCACCCGTGACATGTGACTGAGCAGCAGCTTGGCTAGCTCAGCAAATTGATCATGATGTAACGTAGGGCAGGGGGGGGGGGGGGGGTTCTGAGCTGAGCTCACTAGTTCCATTGTTGATATCCCTCTTTTTGAAAAGCGGGGTCATGAAAAGCATAACACCACTTTCACTATGACCTTCCATTACTAACCGTTAGACCTTGCATCAACGCTAGCACCTTCATGAAGCAGTAGACGCACACAGTCCATGTGACCGCCATGGACAGCATGCATCAACGCAGTCCTCTGATGCCCATCATAACAATCCATGTCTGCCAGGTAACAAAGGACAGTGAGAAGACACACCAACTCATATGCATGATGCATGCATGTGCACTTCTAGTAGTTCATATGCATGATGCATGCATGTGCACTTAGTTCATATGCATGATGCATGCATGTGCACTTAGTTCATATGCATGATGCATGCATGTGCACTTAGTTCATATGCATGATGCATGCATGTGCACTTAGTTCATATGCATGATGCATGCATGTGCACTTCCAGTGCGTCGCCCCTGTGCACCCATCCAGTGCGTAGACATGCCCCTGTACACCCAGTGTTGTTCAGCAATGTCAAATCTCACGAACAAGACTTAGTTCGCACCCCCTGCATCAGAACACAGTGCACAGTTCAGTGTTTGGCAAGTCTTGCATTGCACACGATGCATAGCTCCTGGCATGACATTGACGCACAGAAATTCATCCTGAGCAGCAACACACACAGTGCCACAGTAATGCAGATGTATTTCATTTCCACATGATTTGTACAGTATTTGTAGATTGTGACTCTCACTGCACTGCGACACATCATACATGTGCGTGTGATCGCAAAATCAGAGAAATATTTATAGCAAACCAGTTAAGCCAGAGTGCCTGATTTTCAACGGCACCAAAAGTCACATCGCAAAGGTGGATGGACGTGTTACACAATTTGTATTTGTATTGATGGATTCTCCACAGGCCGTAGCCCAAATCGAGGGAGTCTCCGTTACCTGTCATCATAGAGGCGTTGGTCGTTCGCATCATCGTCGTCTCCTGCATATCATCCAGACGAGCTAGAGTACGCTCGCCTATGACACCACGCTTCAACTGCTTCAAGAGCAGGGTTAGGTAGCGGCGTTTGCCCAGCGCTGCAGCATAGTGTAATGGTGTTAGGTGTGTGGGATCCTCAATCCAGTCACCAGCAGAGTTATCCAGTAAGTCTCCATCAGTAGCAGTCGCTGAAGGAATTAGAGGAAAAGAGGAAAAGTGTTACCGAGTAGCCTTCTAAGAAAGCTGGAAAATCAGCACCCCGTAAAGTTCTGCAGCAAACGACAGACTGACACCAATTGGAACAGGTATCTGCTCCCCTGACAAATTGACTGGCTCAAGCACACTATAACCACTCACTGTCCTATGCTAGTTCTTGAGACGCATATTGAATATCCACAAACTGCCATGTTCATCACTTCATGGACTGTGAAGTATGAATACTTGACGCCTTGCCAGAAGCAAGCATGAGCACTAGTGATGGCAGTAACCTTGGAAACCCTGGCAGTAACCTTGATCACCATGCAAGTAACCTTGGTCACCATGCAAGTAACCTTGGTAGCCGTGCAAGTAACCTTGGTGACCATAGCAGTAACCGTAGCAACCCTGGCAGTAACCCTGGTAACTATGATAGTAACCTTGGTAACCATGCTAGTAGCCTTGGTAACCATAGTAGTAACCTAGGTAACCATGGCTCACTGACCTTGGTTAGTAGCAGCATCAGCAGCCAGTAGATAGTCGTTACCGGTTACCTGTCGGAACGTCACACTCTTGGCGGTAGTAGGTACAGGCATTGACTCACGACGTGTTGGAGGTGTACATGGCATGTGGGCACCTGGTTTGACCGCATGTGTGCCATCGTGCTGAATGGCATAATTCTGATACTGAACTTCGGCATACTGCATGCATGCAACCACAGACGCACACATGCGCACATGTACGAGAAAACCGATTATACACACTGACAATGGAAACTTACAGGGTTCCGCACTGCCAGCTGCACCAAAATTCAATACTGGGATATGCATAGCTGTGCACATACAGATAGAGAGCATGCAGTGAACTGCAAGTCAGTATCATAGTTGGGAGTTGCAATGATCGGCACCTACGTGGCAACACATTGTCAGTAGCTTTAGACAAAGCAAGTGCCCCCCCCCCCCCCCCCGGAATAGTTAGAATTCGGAGTGAAAAATCTATCCTTTGGGTCATAAACGGTGTATGCTATGCCGGGGTAATACTATGATGACTGTAGCAATTCTGACTTCCCTGGCTGTCGAGGTCTCTTGGAAACTCATGGTGCATTCTAAACACTTTAAAAAGGTGCATGCACACTACCTTAGAACCGGGCTTGTGCGGTATTGTTCAAAGGAAAATAATGTGTTACTGTATCTCTCGGACTGGACTCACTGGAGCGGGGAATCAATGGTCTACATGTAGGACGATGCAAGGGTGTGAGCTGTTTAAGATAGGCTGATCAACTTACCGGTGAGGTCTCATTCATCTGTTCAGAGCTGTCAGTAGAAGCAGTGCGGTCTCTGGCGTCACCACCAACACTGGGATGCCGACGCGCATTGAGTGGTGGTGAGCTGCATGGTGGGGCAATACCAGCCAGAGTCTCCTCTAGCACTTTACTGCTGGATGTCTTCCTGGGCAGTGATGGTGAAATGGCATCAGTGTCATCCATGCCTTGTGCTGCTGCTGGTGTTGCATTGCTATCGGGTTTGCTCTGTCGGTGAACCTGGGAGTACAATGGCCTTTCCTTGCCAGTGTCAAGATCTTCTTGGCCAGCCATACCTTCACCAGCACCGGCATTCTCCATAACGAGTGGACTCGGTGACATGGGCGCTACTCTAGCTCTGCGCTTGCTCAGCATGCCACGCAGAGAACCTGGCTTGGGTCTGCCAGGGGAAATGCCCTTCAGAGGTGTACTGGTTGCAAAGAAGTTCGGCGATGAAGACCTTAGCTTAGCCATGAAGTCAGGTGATCCTTCCCGTGAACTACCTGTATGAATGTACCGGCAATGTACGTCAACAAGATGCGTTTTTTTATGGCAAAACGTGAGTTCTAAATCCATAATTGTAAATGATTTCCCATAATCGCATCTACTACCAAGAGTACATACCCCCCCCCCCCCAGGGGGGGGGGGGGGTATGTACTCTTGCTACAACTTATTAAACGTTTGGTAGAAGTGCACGAATGACTAGGCGGGCCCCACAGAATTTGGCGTACAAGGAGTTGTAGCAAAGGCTGTTTAAATGCCCATTGCTAATAGGGAACAGACACATGTAGGTTAGATAGCAGTGTGTTACTGCACACGATTGAAATCCATAGTGGAGCATACTACCGAGCACGAAGTGTATAATAATTATACTCAACTTTCCCATAATGAGCTTACCAACATCGTCGAGTCCTTCAACGATAACTACATCTCCATCTACACACAGAACATAAGGGACAGCATCGAAAAGACAGCGTAAGGGTGGCACTCATCAATATCAGTAAATGTGGCAATGTTTGCCATTGTACATAGAAAAGTCATAGAGAGATAGAATAGGATGCTCTATGTGAATGCGCAGTGTTAAATTGCAGATCATAAACCCAGTCCTGCACAAAACGAACTTGATGCTAGGACCCGCTGGCTCAACTAAACCACATAGGCCCTGAAACATAGCACCCGGACACTTAGGGCTTGGACCGTCATTGCTGCGTGCAATCGGACGAAAAGTTCTACAGAACGGCCAGGCTGCATACAATGCAGTTGTGCTACATAGCACTGTGTGAAATAGACATGGTAACAAGTAACAAGAGAAATAGTAATTGGTGGCCATGAATTGACAAAACACACTTACCACCACTCTCTTTAACAGCCCAGGCTGGTACAGGCGGGGTAGAAGATCTCCGAAGTGGTAACGTGCTGTACGTTTCTTTATTTGACTGTTGCTGCTGCTGCTGCTCTTGCTGTTCTTGTGCAGGCTGATCACCAGGGGAAGGAGTAGCAAGTCGACTGTCGTACGGATCCCATTGTAAAGTCGCCGCTGATGCAGCACCGCTCCGCATCACCGGCGTGACCGGGGGAGACTCGTCAAAATCCTCAATGTCCACGACTGGAGACTATGTGTGAATAGAATGGGACATTACTGGTCAATGTCACAAGCATATCCCTGAGCACAGTATGGTTTCAACTTTACCTCACACCCTATTCAAACTGTGTACCAACCTAGCACCATACACTTCATATACATGACTTTGTACACAATCTATGTGTATGGCCAAGCAGTGTATGGCCAAGCAGTGTATGGCCAAGCCAAATGCATTCATTGAACGGTGTCCTTCTTTCATGAACATGTGGGGCAGACGGATTCTATTTTCCAATTTTGAAAGGTGTATAAAATATGTCCCTGGAAGTCAGCTGCAAGAATCTGATGGCTGGCATAACTAATGTATATGTGTAGGAGTATCCTTGAGGCCAGTGGTTCGGGTTGATTGTTTTAAATCTATAACCTAGAGGCCTGTATTTATAGCAGCGAGATGATGAATGCCACACTGCTACATGGCCACACTACCACAGTCCACACTACAGCCTCGGATCTCACCTTGGACCTGTGCTCAAGCTCCTTCCTAGCATCTTCATTACTCATGATCTGGAACGACTCGATGTTGTCCTGTGTGTGAGGCATATCCGGCGGCAGCGCCATACCAGGCAGCACATGCTCCACTTTGTCACTGTCCGTAGCGGCCATCTTGTCTCTGCTGAGCCAGTATTAGTTTAGCAACCCTCGACCTGTCCGTGTACGTAGTATGCGATCGTACTGGATGGTCAGCCCTACCCTGGCCTTGGCAGTGGCAACAAAGCACACCAGGCTGCAGTAGATGCTAGCTTTACTACGTCCTGTATTCCAACGGTGCTCGATCAGTCACGTTCTCAGTCTGAAAATGAAGATTCACACAGCCGCAAATGAACAACTTTCTTTTACAAGTCCGCAGAGCGTAACAGCGTTATGTGCACGCATCGCTAAAATAACGTGCTGAACTTCAGTTCGACTATACTTGAGCAAACAAGGCTACACCAAACTCCAAAGCCAGGTGCCAGTTAGATGCTGACGGTTTGTATCACTTTCCCCCATTCATATCACTCTCAGTCATCACTCCCCACACTGCGCTTACCGTAAAGAGTCAGTGGGTGTGAACCGGCGTACTGCCGTCGTCTCTACGGATCGGAGTCGGACCGTAGTTTTGGGTCAGGCCAGTGTCGCCCCGAGCGTCACAGCCTAGCCTACGAAATGTTGCAATGCCTAATAGTAATAAGAGTAAGAGCTTGTTTTGGACGATTTGGACCCGATCGGCTGGATAAACTGGTATTGAATCAGAAGCGCCATTGAAAAGAAAGACAAGTCTTCTGCCACTGTTTTGTGTCAAAATGTGTTCACTCAAAGTGTCTTTCGTCGCGCGCTAGCTGGCTGCCCCGTGAAATGCAGCCTTGGCCCGTGCCACTGCCATGGTGATACGCTGATGATCATGTCTGTGGCTGTAGTGTAGGCTGTAGACTCTTAGTCTTATTATTAATTTTTTGCAGCCTAACCTCGGCCAATCGCGCCTTACTCTTATTAGTCTTACTTATTTTAGTTATAGCTTAGGTCTTTCCATACGTACTGGACGAGGGTTTGAGGATTCGTAAGATTAGAACTCAGCAAAGGGGTCGGTTTACTTTGCGGTTTGTCTGAGTTCTCTTTACTCGCTGCATGTCTGCTGCTCTGAGTGGAGTACCAGTGTGGCGCATAGAGTCGACGGCTGGCCTAGCCCCTATTAGTATTACAGGATTTCGTTTACCATCTCGTAATGGCTCCAAAATTCTGCCTTGACACGACTAACTGTCGATGACGACAATAGACCAATTTCTTGATTCTTGACTTTCAACTCTGACTCTGAGTTAGGTTGAGAGTGAGAGACGTGACTGTGATGTTGCAGACTGATGTTGTTCAACAGCACCCCACCTGTGACCTGTGATCTCATGTATGGTCAGGTTGATCAACATGTCCACTCTAGCCGCATTCTCACAAAGGCAAGTAGGCAAGTATCAGCTCATCTAACGCTTCTCACTCCTACAATTTTGTTGCCAGTACGCACACATTATCATCCTCGCCAAACCAAAGGTGATGGCTTCCTCGCTTATTATTCTCCTTTTTCCTTACAAGTACTTATGTCTGGGCCCGCCACTACCACAGAACGCCATGCAGTAGTTACATTGTATCTGATTGCTACTGAAGATCGTCCCGCAGAGGCAGAGGGCCGCGCCGTGAAACTCCGAGCTGTAACTACTACTACTAGTAACTGTTACTTGACTCAGTTTCCTAGGCTCTCCCGGCTACTGACTGTGCACTGCGTGCCAGTGAAATTGATCCACATCTTCTTGTGGAGTCAAGTCTGGCGAAAGTCAAGACCATGCATTGCGTTGACTATGGGTTTAATTAAGTAAGCAGATGATGCCGCTCTTCAGTCAGAGTCAGAAGTATCCGTGGTTGCCTGAAGATTTTATAAAACTCTGAGCAGCAACTGCATGTAACTCCAAGTGAGTGATTTCGTGCTTGCAGCGTGAACTGGATGCTCGCAGCTTCCCAAAGTTTAGCACACAATTATGTACTACCATGGTCTACATACCAGACCCAGTACAGTGCACGATCTTCAGACTGCAGTCAAACACAAAGGATGTAATAATGTACTTCGAAGTGGTATGAACAGAATCTTCGCATGTGGAACCGCGTGTCGCATTGAGCAGGGCTCCCTGCGTTGTGTTCTAGTCCTTCATGATGGCACATTGAATTGTATTTTGTTTCGGATGGAAAGCCAAGGAAGAATTTAAAGGAAAGACAAGGACCAAGGAACTACAGTACAAGTTACCGGTACGCTATTCTGTCCACTAGCAGTAACGCTGTATTTTGTTTGCCCGTAAAACTAAAAGAGGCTATGCTCCCAAGTAATCCCTGGCACATGCACAGTGGCAGCGTGGGAAGGACTGGTAGTGTGACGTACACCTGTGTCTTGGCATTACCCAGATTATCAGTGATGTCTACACAGCCCGGCGATTGCGGTGACTCCTGCGAGATGTCATTATGATCGGCTTGTCAAGCATCGCTATTACCTACCGTACATGAACATGTAGATCTACGGACAGAGGGAGAAAGAGATCACCCTACAAGGTATTATTACACTGTAGCAATACGGATTTCCCTGCCCTGTCTGCTCGTAACGTTAGTACAGCGTTCATGAACAGCATGATGACTGTATCGCTACACGAGCGCGTGTCATCCACATCATTGGATCCATTGGCTGGTCGACATTTCAAGCCAGATGAAAACGGTGCCAAACGGCCAAGGGCAATGCTCATGTATTGTACTTCTCTAGTAGTAGACTCTACTCAAGTAGTATGGGGGTCGCCCGTCCAACTGCAACGTTGTCTACAGGACATAAGCTACACGTACACGTAGTTCGGCAGACCTAGGCCTAGGCTAGGGTTCTACGAAGACGCAGGATCAAGGAGTGAGTATCATGCCACGCCTAGACTGCAACAGTGCTACTGACTGCCCCACTCAGCAGTGTCTGCACTGCCGGGTCTGGTGCATGATTGATGCAAAGACCTCCCGTGAATGCAAATGCATGGTGCTACTGTCATTAGTCGACACTGATGTAGAGAGCTACGTGGGAAAAACGGCATGAAAGAAGATATTGGCAAAATGCAACACTCTAAAGTCTTGGACGTACAATAGCACTAGAAGATAACTTGGTTGGCGAGAAGCCGTATCGGACGTTCCTCACCTCTAGCTCTTCTCAGTGCTTGTGGTGTATTCCACGCGAGGCTATGCAACAAGCAAGAGCTGTTTCTCCCACAACCTAAGGCTAAGCGCCTTTGCCCGTCGCCTGGCAGCATGTGAATGATAGCTGACTTGGACGACGCCAGAAAACGCTCAGTGGCTGACGTTATCGATTGAGCGACGATCTGACCTATTCACGGCGACCGTGAGTTATGCAGAGTTTGTAGTGTTTGTGCCAGCGTCAGTTATCTGAAGACTACAGGCTACGGTGTAATCCGCAAATCCGAGGTAACAACTAACGAATCCAACCACCAAGAGTTGGTTGGTCGCCACCACACAGCGACATAAAAGTAGCTAGAGAGGTTCGAGGGTTGCCCGGCGGGTCGTCGGAGGTGTCGGACTGTGTGTCTGTTACTCAGAGGTCCTGAGAACAGCCCTCAATACGCCGCATGACCGGCCGTCGGACGGATGAAGTCCCAGCCAGGCAAGATACGACCAACATAGTCATTGGCAGCACAACGCCACGACCATGAATGAGCGGTTGACTGAGCCATATTCAACCCGGTACGTGTCATTGTATGCACTCGATCGAGCTGCCAGCCTCCATCCATGAGCGACGAAGACTGGGGAACTTGAAAATAGCGTGAGACATCTCGCAAGGCTCGGTTCATACAGAGCAGAGAGCTCGGCGAAAACGCAGCCAGCCTGTCCACTGACGCAGCCCAAGATTGGTTGGGCGAAGGAACGTCAGTCTGGGTGATTGACCGTGAGCAACAGAATCAGTTACAGGGCAGACAAGGTCGATAGTCTCAGGACTGATCTGCCGCTGTGAAGACAACATGCTTCGTATGTCAGCATGCGAAGATCTCAGCACGGCTGGCCTACAAGCTGCACCAGTCAACCCTGGTGCAAGCAGCAGCAGCAATAACAGCAGCTATAAGCCAGCCAAGCGATCAGCAACCGCCATCTCCATTGGCATTGGTGGAGGTGCACCAGGGACAGGAGGCCGCCATCATCCAGCCTCCTCCTCTCAGCAACGACGCAGATCTGTAAGGTTCACTGCCTCCCCTGGACGCAGTCAAGAGCAAAACGCGTCACTGTCAGAGGATGAGACACAGACTAGGAAACCTTCAACACGGCAACAGACTGGTAGCTCAGGATGGTTGGTCACCATGGGACCATCAGCACGTCAGTTATTCAAGTCCAAGCCTCCAAGCAGTATTCTGATGGCATGCTCCAGTGGGGATGCTCGCTGGCTCAAACACTGTCTGAGCAGTAGTGCGGAGGACGAAGTCAATCAATTAGGTCCTGAGGTGAGTCCTACTTTTCACATACGTGTGCACATGCAGGCACATGCACACATGTCCAATACGAACACACACACACACACACGCACCTCCTCCTCACCTCAGACATGCCCATCGCGGAAGCGATGATAGCGAACAGCTATGTTAGACATAGCAACTTGTGCTGGGATTACACCATTCAACAGCTTGCAAGGCTGATGAATTGACCGCCACTATTTTTAGCCTGGTATCCACCACACAACTGTTTGAAGTCAACACACACGCACACACACACACACACACACACACACACACACACACACACACACGTACTTGCTCATTGCCAATAGCTGGTCACATAAGTCTCCCATTGGGAGAGAGAAGAGAGATTCAGAAAGAGATCTTGGAGAGATGACTCAATTGGGGGGGGGGGGGGGGGGGGCAACTCCTGACCGCTACCGCCAAATACCCAACTTACGGGTGTTCTTGGAAAATATGACGCCACTTATGGGCTCACTGCGCTGCAGTACGTGGTTGAGGGCGTGGTTGGCTTTCACCTCCTCCTCTTTGATTGGCAATTACGTGCTATGGGATGTGGAATAAAAAGATATTAAAAGGAAAAATTAAAAAAAACAAGGTGTAGCAAAAGGATTGATGGCAAGCGCACGTACTCTCTCTCTCTCTCTCTCACCCACACTCACACAGACATACACACGCACACACGCACACACACACACTCACACACACACACACGCTACCGTATTCCGAGTCAAAGTTTCAAATGCCAACACCTCCAGCAGCACCAGCAACTTGTCAGCGTTGAAGCGTATACAATTATAACTAATACATGTGCTAAAGCTTCGATCATTATCTACACATTCAGGCTCAGGGCTTGCCGAGATATGCTAAGGCATAAGCAGAGACGCGATCACACACAGTATAACAAGTGACTTGGTGCCGGCGAAATCTTGCTTCTATTGTACTGAAGTGTACGTGTGCAGACAATACATGCATATGTATGTTCTTGTATGTTCATTTGTGTGCACATTTGTTTCATGCAGGGCTTATCACCCCTGCACATGGCTGCAAGGCATGGACACCTGAGTTGCATCGAGACTCTACTCTCGTGGAAAGCCACCATTGTCACCGTGACAACCCTGCCCGACAGCAGGACAGCATTACATCTAGCAATAGATGCAAAGCGACAGCGGGTGCAGTGCTTGCGCAGATTAGTGCAAGCCGGGATACCCATAGACCAGTAAGAGACAAACACTTCAAGCACACACACACACACACACACACACACACACACACACACACACACACACACACTACTACTACTACTACTATAGCATGACTGCCCATTGGGCAATGTCACCCCCGGAGGGGGCCAGAGTTTGGAGTGCACCGTCATTGGCAGGACTTCTGGTGCCTCGTCAAATCTTGCTGTCGTCGGAAACGTTTCGGGCAATGCATGCAGATCAGCGGCAGTGATTCCCTATCGGCTGCAGCAAGACGTTTTCCACGGTTGCAGTTATGGCGGTTAAAACCAGCCCGGGACTTGAAGCAGCGATTGCAGCGTTGACAATGCTGGAAGCAGCAACTAGCGAGAGACGCCGTCAATGCCGTATCTGCATGTTCAGGGAGTGCAGGCTGGCAGCGATGAACTGCAAGCCCACCCTTACTACGGAACCATCGGCAGCAACTGACGCACTGTGCTGAACCACGCTGTTGGTGGACGGGAAGTTGGCGCTCAGCCAAACACTTGTGCCGTGCCTTGTCTTGAGGACGAGAGAAAGCCCGGTTGCAAGATGAGCAGAGTACGGATTTCTCTACTGCCCGAGGAGGCTGAAAAACCAGAACCTGCTCTCGCCAAGCTGACCGGTCTTGTGCGCAATCAAACCAGTTTGGAATGGACTTCGTGTCAGTAGCCACAACGTCTCTCCACCTACGCCTGGGACCGCAGAAGGGGCGCGCAGCCAACAAACGACCAAACAACAGCTGCAATGGGACACGGTCCTCCGACATCCGAGCCACATGACCAAGCCACTCTAAACGACGATGGCGCATCTTAACAGAGAGTGGCACTGGGTCACCCCAGTGACGACGTAACTGCGCAGACGTGATGCGATCGGATTGCTGCTGACTGCGAGGGATGGCTAATATTGTGCGGATGCAGCGATGATGAAAGGCATCCAAACGTCTACTATCAGCTTTCAAGGGCGTCCAGCACTCACTGCCGTACAGCAAAATGGACAAGACACAGGCCACGTATAGCTTTCGCTTACTGACTAATGACAGCGAGCGATCCGACAAGACTGGAAGAAGAGCTCCAAAGGCTTTGGAAGCCTCAGCTATGCGGCGACTGACGTCAGTAGAGGAGCGGGCATCCGGTGTCACGACGGACCCCAGATAAATGAAGGATGGAACGTGCTCCACAGTATCACCGTTGACGTTCATATCGGCTCTATCAGGCATGTTGACTTGGCTACCTGCCACGAGAAATTTCGTTTTAGCAGCGTTGACGCAGAGGCCAAAGGAAGAGGCAACCGTGCAGAATGTTTCAAGGCACTTCTCAGCACCAGGGCGGTCTTCAGCGAGCAAGACCGCGTCATCTGCGTACTCAATGTCGTTGATGATTGCGGCAGTAGACTGGCGAGCGGGCTTTGAGAAAAGGTTGCCATTGATGCTAAATTGGATGGGGATGCCAGGTGGATGGTCGTTGTCCTGCATCACTTGTGCCCACCGCTCAAGCACAACACCGAAGTACAGATTAAAAAGTACTGGGGCCATCACACAGCCTTGACGGAGGCCATTGTTGACCGCAAACGGCTCGGTAGTGCTGGCACCGACGCGCACAGCTGCCTGCATGCTCTCGTGGAACGATTGGATTAGATTGAGGAGCCCTTCAGGAATGCCTAGCCTCCCCAATGCTAGCCAGAGTGCTTGGCGTGGTACGGAATCATATGCTTTCTTCAGGTCTACGAAGACACAGAACAGCTTCTGACGGTGCTCGTACGATTTCTCGATGAGCTGGCGAATGGAAAAGATGGCATCAGCGCAGCCGCGACCAGGGCGAAAGCCACACTGGGATTCTGGAAGTTCTTGTTCCGCGACAAGTTGGAGACGGTCCTGAATGAGACGGCCACAAACCTTGCCAGCGACATCTAGGAGGGCAATGCCGCGCCAGTTGTTGCAGTTGGTCAAGTCACCCTTTTTGGGAATCGGGACGAGTTGGGCATCCCGCCAATCCTGGGGAACCGTTCCGTTGGTCCATGCAGTGTGAATAACATCAAGCAGAGCCTCAAGCAATGGTGTACCACCAGCTTTAAGCAGTTCAGGTGCAATTCCAGATGAGCCAGGAGCCTTGCAATTAGCCAGCTGGCGTATAGCCATAGTGAGGTCCTCTAGCGAGGGAAGTTGGCCGAGTGACTCATCAACTTCACGCTGCTCAATGTGGTCAAAGATGGTAGCATCGAAGGTGCTGCGAACGTTCAATAGACGGGCAAAATGCTGCAGCCAGCATTTCTCTTGCCCCTCCTGGGAGCTACAGATAACTCCGTCACTGTCTCGGATGGATGGGATGGAGATAGGTGATAATCCCGAATAGCACTTCTGTATATCACGGATTGCAGACCATGCGTGCTTGCCACTAAACCGACTTGACTCAACCACATTAGCTTTACGTCCAATCCACTCACTCTTTGCGTTACGCACGGCAGTTCTGCACTTGCCACGAGCCTCGACAAAGCGACGCCTGTCAGCGTCAGAACCAGAGGCGAGCCATTTGCGATGTAAGGCATTGCGGCTATCCAGCATAGGTGCAAGAACATCAGCACACGCTTCAAACCAATCAGGCTGGCGACGACGTGGACGGCCAAGATGCTTCTCAGCGCTGGTGACGATAGCAGATTTGACGGCAGACCATTTGTCCTCAACGCAGCCATCATGATTCCAGGATCGTAACTCTGACGCAACAGACGTCGCATATTGCTCACGAGTTTTACAGGTTGCAGCTCTCTGCGCTTCCGTCATGCAGGAGTGTTTGACAAGTTGTTGCACATCAAACTTGACAGGTCTTTTTGCACGCTTGTGGCAAGCAGATGAGCGGATGCGGTATGTGAGACACACAAGGTTGTGATCTGTACTACACTCAGCTCCCCTGATGACATGGCAATCCGTGCAGTTGGACAGGTCTTGTTCCCGGACCATTGCATAGTCGATGCAGTGCCACCGCTTCGAGCGGGGATGTTGCCAGGTACACTTGTGGATGTTACGTTTCATGAACCAGGTGTTGCACACAGTAAGGCTGTTGCACGCTAAAAACTGGAGAAGCTCAGCGCCAGCCTCATTGACAGTGCCAACACCATGTGGGCCACGTGTTCCATACCAGCCATCGTCACAGATTTCAGCTCCAACTCTAGCGTTGAAGTCTCCCAAGATTATCAAGGAGTCCTGGGTGGGTACGGACAGAATAACTTCCTGAAGAGAGTCAAAGAAATCGTTCTTTGCATCGCGACTGGACCGGAAAGTCGGTGCGTAGCACACCACGACGTGGACCCAAATGCACACACACACATACAAACACACACACACACACACACAGACAAACACACACACACACACACACACACATACACACACACACACACACACACACACACACACACACACACACACACACACACACACCATTGACTGTAATACAGCACACAGATATTTGAATGTGAAGAACTCTCTTGACCCATAGATGTTGCTGACGATGTGTGTGCACGTGTGCGCGCGTGTGTGTGTGTGTGTGTATGCGTGTATGCGTGTGTGTGTGTGTGTGTGTGTGTGTGTGTGTGTGTGTGTGTGTGCATGCATGTGTCTGGGTGTGCTTGTTTGTTTTCTCCCGGTGTGTGCAAGTACAGGGGAGATTGGAATATGAGCACACCATTACACACAGCAGCACAGCTCGGTCGAGTAGCATGCATGATGGTACTGTTAGAGTCCGGTGCTAACAACCAGGCCCTGGACAAACTCAAGCGACAGCCTGTGGATGTAGCCAAGTGGTCAGGCAAGGGAGAGTGTGTACGCCGACTGACAGCGGTTGCTTGGGCAGCTGAGAAAACGCACGCGGAAGAGACTAAGCGCCTACATGCATATAGCAGTGACATTGAGCGTGTGCATCGAACAAGGCAGCAGAAACTTGAGCAGGCACTGCGTGGCGAGGAGGCATTCGGTGACTGGCTTGCTGCTAAGGGCCTGGCATCTACGTCAAGTGCATCCTTATCCCATCAGCATACAACAAGCTCGCTGCACCATATATCAGGAACAGCAGATGTCGACGACAGAAGCAGCAGAGCCAGCAGTCGAAGCGGAACGACGTCAATGGCTGCGTCGCGTGTCAGCTCAAGGCTCTCCAGCAAATTCAATAGCATGTGGAGTGTGTATAGTGCTCCACCGCTACTGCCCGCCAGCATGGCTGATGGCGGACGAAGTACTCTCTCACGTCTTGCCTCACCATCACTGCCGTTCATCACAACTCCGGACGAGTTCCCTCCACCACCTGCGGCCAGCAAGCCAATCAAGATCTCCTTTCAGCATCGGCATCAACATGGCCACCTGTTGAAAGCCAGCAAATCCCAGCATTCTGGGGTGTCACCGAAAAGCAAGGCAAAGCGAACCAGACACTCGGGAGCTGCACGCACTGGGCACACTGGGCACATTGCTGCTAGCCGACGGAAGGAATCCAAGCAGCGGCCCCTGCCTCGAGCTAGCACACCACATCCGTCACGTGACATGAGTAGTGTGGGTATGCCACCGCCACCGCCATCACCACCGGTTGAAGAATCCATGGTTGAAATTGACGACGAGGAGAGACCCGACCTGCTGCTGCCGTCAGTACGCATAGAAGAGTTGCTGATGAAGGACAGGCACCAGCTACCCACACTAAAGCCGCTCGCCTGGGGCTCTGGTCATCAGCTACTAGATCCCATGGCAACTAGTGATGACCAACAGGGAAACGAGAGTGCAAAGCAGAGACCGCAAGCCATGCCGGTGTTCCGACCACTGCGAGCTAATTCCCTTCGCCTGGCCGCACTGCGTAGCACAAATCTTGAGGCCGTGGATGAAGAAGGAGAGAGCGCTAGCAGCAGTGTGTCTGATATTGATGCATACCTGGGACCGACACATTCATGCTTACAGCTGCAAAGTTCAGACGGAATAGACACTCCAGTATCTGGTGGCACAGGCAGTGACATATCACTTTGCAGCACAGACATGCTCGACAGGATGAGTTTATCGGATGATTGACAGACTGACTACAGCTTTTTGGAAGCAATCATCGATACCGATATTCACACACACGCACACACACGCACACAAACACCCCCCCCCCCCCTCCCCTCACCGATACACAAGTAACAGCACTGTACTTGATTTTGACGGTGATAACAGGAATTAATCTTGTCCATCCATAAACTCTTATTCATTCCGTGACCATTGCTTGCAATTGGCAGCAATGCAGACCTAAACGGGGACATGACTAACTTTCTGCTAAGAACCGGAACATTTCATCCCATCAACACCCAAACACGCCAACAGCAGATCATATTGACCCGAAGTATATTTATTGAATTTCCTATTACAGAGCAGGTTTCGAAGCATATGATTTTCTATGTCAGTATTCATCATCGATAAATAATTGATGGCTAATATAAAAGAATTCTTGGCTACTAGTATATAATTCAAATGCTATTCCATTGATCTTGGAGTTTGCGGAGTGAAGACAAAATCGATGAGCAAAATGGTCATGAAGTGACGGAGCCTGTTTGTAAAAATTAGTTAATTTTAAGAAAAATGATGAAGGCAGGAGGCCACTCCGCAGGCGCGATTGGATGGCGGCGCTGGTGACGCATATCCGATAATGTTCATTGCTCGCTGAACGGCTAGGCCATTAGGCACAGCAACACTACAGATTGGTACAGCCATACACACACACGCACACACACACACACGCACACACACACACACACACACACACACACACACAGCCACACAAACACACACACACACACGCACAAAGATAGACATACAACGTTTTATTTTTTGAATCATTTGGCTGGATCTGTGCTGGTACAATGTTTTGATAAGATACACGGACAGACACACAGAGGACACACCAACACCATGCATACAAAGACAGTTGCTTTGATGCATCGGTTTAGCAAATAGAGCAGCAAATAACCTCAAGATTCATAAGGCAAAGTACATTAACAAAAGCCACCAACAAAATTTAATATGTAGTACAGTACGTATCACCTACTGTACAGGCAGAAAATTTCGTCGTCAATAATTTCGTCCAACTCAAAGAAAGGGAGTTCGTCCGGTTGTAAATTCCGTCCATGGATCATAAGAGTGTATTGAAAAGCTGGACAAATCGACATTAGTCCGGCCTTTTATTTAGTCCAAAAGCCGCGAATCCTTGGACGAAAAAGACGGAATTAAATTCCAGACGAATATTTCTGCTTACACAGTATAAGGTTGGCGGCTATAGTAATATACCGGATATAGTGATCAATTTATCAATTTCATTTTCATTTGCCATAACTAAGTATACACAGTTATCGCGTATAGTAATATATCGCCTATAGTGATCAAGTTCACATTTCAAAAGACCTTTAGGCGAGACCAAAAAAAATAGAGATTCCCGGGCCCTCCCGCACCAAAATCGAGCCAAAGCCAATTTTTTTTTTTTTGAACAGTTCATACATGTACAGACCAGTGTAGTACAGTACTGATCGTGTGAGTAGATCTGTGACGTGGAGTCACACAAACCCGAGCTTGTACGACTCCCTGATGTACAGATCAGGGCCATCGTTGGCCGAAATATAGAAAACTTGAACGGGTAAACCGCGTACCTGTTGTCTGCAAAACAAATTAAATAAAAATTTACTGGAAAATGCTGGAAAAAAGTTCAACATGGCATGCACACATATAGTCATGTACACACACGGGGAAAAATAAAAAATAAAATTCGCCCGCCCGCACCAATTTCACATGGGTCCTGCCCGGGAATCTCGATTTTATTTTGGTCTCGCCTTATTACATTATTTTTGCATCGATTCTAGTGATTGATGTAAAATCAAGTGGTGTCAGAGGAGAACAGGGTGTTACTTCTCGCACAGCGATAAGCCACACTCGCTACACACCAAACAACAGCACATTTGTATTGCGGTTAGGAGGGCCAGAAGTGTGACACCACGTTCTTTTACATGGAAGGATGCGGAATTGTAGAATAGCGGAAGAAGGGACAGAGCACATGGATATTCTATGAAAGCAACGCAATGGCAGCAACTGAGAGAGCAATGACCGAAAACCAGAAGCACCACTTGGGACCGTCAGATTAATTTGTCTGGGCCGAGCCAGCCGGAAAAAAACCCTCGCGCCGACGGACGCATTATTATTTTTTTTGAGGGAAAAAACCGGGTGTAAAACCCTAAGTGGCTAATCTGACAAGTACAAAAAGCAGGGAGGGAGGGTGGGTACCTCAAGACGACTGGCCAGTCGTGCTCATGCGCAGCGGTTTAGAGAACATGTGAAGATGTACGAGTAAAAAGAAATTGATCAGATGACTGCTCACTTGTGAGAAAAAAACACAAGAAAAAACCGCTGTGACGAGAAAATACTTCTCACCTCTGTCGCTGCGCTCTGCCGTCGAGAAGATACCATTCTTCGTGAAGAACTAACTTGTCGAGTGTTGTTTGGTGAGTTCTGCGTGTACAAGTTGCCAAATATGCCTCCATCGTGAGGAAATGCTGATGTTGTGTGACATGAGCTGTAGCCAGCTATGCAGTGCGTATGTGCACGGCGCCCTGAGTCGCTTGACACCCCACTCGCATACATTGCATGCAGTATCGGCCATAGTGATATATCGCAATATAGTGATAAAATGCTCAAAATCAAACACCAACGCTATAGGCGATACTGACTGTACATGTACACCTGGGTGAGTGACAGTCAATGTTTGCTGAGCTAAAACTAATACTGGTGATAATCTCGTAGCAGAAACCTTGTGGATGGAAGCGAGCTTTTCAACATTTGCTTTAAGGTCAACTAGACTTGATTGAGCCAATATTGTGCCATCTGATCTGTGACAAGTGCCTTGATTGTTCATGTCAAATTACTGGTGCCGCAGAGGTCCCCTCGTTCAAGACAGTCTGGAGTTGACTCAAAACTCATCCTTCTTTATCTTTATGTCAACTGCCGACTGCTAGTCCTAAATCACAAAGAATGCACCAAAGTGATATTATGTTTTGTGCATACCTCTGCCAACTTTCTTTGCCAAAAGGTGCTTATTGGGGACACTGAGCTGCTTTAGTCCCCTCTGAGTCCCCTCTGAGTCCCCTCTGAGTCCAGTCCTCTGAGTCCAGTCCTCTGAGTCCCCTCTGAGAAGCAGCTGCACTGTGAACACTGAACATCACGGGAAAGTGGTGGAGATGCCAGGCTGAGAGTCTGTCTTCCACCAATGGTCGGTGTTTCTTTGTAACTCCTGCTCGTGTGGCTATTCTCAGCACTTAGCTGGCTATTTATGCATGGGTGAAGGTTCTGCCCCTCAATATCAGTTTTCCACAACCGATTATCATATGAAGTGTAACCCAATGTGAATGTTGTAACGGCTCTTCAAAACCTGCTTGTATGTGTATGGCATGGCACCCTTAAGTTTATGGAAGACACCTGAATGTTGGACTATTAGAAAAATTCTAGTCTCTCCTCAGCAAAGAGTATAACACAATTACAGAATATGAAATTGTGGGTGATTTGAGTTCTATCAGCATGGGTGGATAGTGAGCACCCGGGTATAATAATAAAACGCATGCTGTTCACTTTTACTTGTGTACAAAATACTTCCAGTACCAAGTACCAGTTTAGCAGCAAGAAAAAAAACTACAAAGTACAAGCTCAGAATCACCAACATTAGGATGACAGGTGAGACACCAAAATACACAGTGCAAAGACAAACACCCAAAGAACACTGTGTGTGTTTGCCCCCCCCCCCCTCTCTCCGTCTGTCTGTTTCTCTCCGTCTGTCTGTCTCTCTCTCTGTGTCTGTCTGTCTGTCTGCCTGTCTGTCTGTCTGTCTCTATCTATCTATCTATCTATCTATCTACCTCTCTCTATCTCCCTCTCTCTGTCTGTCTGTCTGTCTGTCTGTCTGTCTGTCTGTCTGTCTGTCTGTCTATCTGTCTGTCTATCTGTCTGCCTATCTGTCTGCCTATCTGTCTCTTTCTCTCTCAGTCTGCCTGCCTGCCTGTCTGTCTGTCTGTCTGTATGTCTATCGGTCTCTCTCTCACTGTGCTGTTCTGCACCTCGCTGCGGACCGGAACTATTCCCTCTGCATTTCAGTTGGCGTCTGTTGTGCCACTGTGCAGAAGGCCGGTGACCCATCAGTCCCCACCAACTATAGACCTGTATACCTTCTCCCAATACTGTCCAAGCTGCTTGAGAGGGAAGAGCAACAGCAGTAAATTCACCATTTATCAACGCACTACCTGATACACAATTTGCCTTCCACAAGCAATGTTCGACCGAAGACACCCTCTGATGATACTGATGGATAATCTCCAGAATGTCCAGAAGGAATGTCACAGGGTTATCTCTAGAATGTCCAGTAGCAAGGTCACAGGACTGTGCTGTGCTTATCAGACATGTTGAAGGCTTTTCGATAAAGTGTGCCACGGCATGTTAATCCGAGACCTCCTTGCCGTTGGAACTTCGGGAAATGCGCCCAGTTGGTTCACAGCCTACTTGTCCGGCCACATTCAGCAGATTCTGATCTGGTCTTAAACCATCCCCACTCTGGCTTGCACCTGTGGGATACCCCAAGGCTCAGTTCTTGGCCTAGCCCGCCCTGTTTAGTACCTACACACGAGACATCCCTTTGGTTTCCTCACCTGTGCCAAGTATACAATTATTTGCAGATGACATGGCCCTGTATGATTCCCAGGCCTTAGTAGCAGAAGCATCCATAAACCTCTCCACAGGAGCAACTGCAGTGGCCGATTGGCTGAAGTCTCGAGACCTCATCTTGAACACAGCCAAGAGCCAGGTTCGGACCATCTCTCGCCAGCAGCATCAACAACACTAGTACCGGTAGTCAAAAGCGGAAATACTATCCACCCTTCATCGTCTTCTGCACGCTACATCGGTGTTCACTTGGACAATCACCTAGCTTGGGATATCCAGGTAGGATATGTGGTCACCAAGGTTGCCAAGAAAATTGGCGCCCTGTGGCGCACCATCTGATGCCTATCAAGACGTTCTCATCTGCTTTACGTTAAGGTGATCACAATGCCCGATCTATTCTATGGCTCCTTCTGCTTTTCAGCCACGCGGTGAGAGGGTCAACTGAAATGACTGCAAACCACGCAGAGCAGACCCATTCGCTGTATCGATGGCAACTCGCCCTGTATAGCCTTGCAGCCACTGCTCACTCTGTGTGCTATGTCGGCAAACTATACAGGCAGAAAACATCGCCATCTGGCGGTGAATCAACGGCCGCACCAGCCCTGTACCCACCCAGCTGCTAATCCTGGCACCAGGCACCTCTACCCGCCATCAGCTGTCAAATGGCCTACTCAGCCAGGCAAACTATAGCCACTGCAGTCAGCGGAGATTTTCTGTTGCTGGTGCTCTGCTGTGGAACGCCCTCCCTGGTGAGGTCCCACAGCATGTCCCGGCTACCCGAGTCTAAACATACATGTGTGCCATACGCCTGTAAGGAGTAGCTTGAATTACTGTTGGTCGTTCTGCTCACCCTCCCCACATAGTTCAGCAATCATCACGGTGCATTACCGGTATATCGTATTCATTCCGCCCAGTTTATTCTCAACTTGTTATTATCATTTTTATCTTATTACGTGCTTCCATATCCACTTCTAGGCTAAACCGTCGCCGCCATTTTTATTGCGTCAACTTCCCGTTTGAATATGAAAAGTAAAAATAATAGTAACCAACCAACCTCTCATCTCACCTCCCACCTCTTCCTTTTTTCCTTTTTGCATCCTATTTCTTTTGCTACAGTTTTCATTTAGTTGTGATGGCCACCGCTGTTGTTGTTACACCATTAATGTCTGATCACTGGTTCTACAGTTGCTTGTACTTCCCTTGATGAGAAAGCACCGACTGAAACTGGTTTGTTTCAATCCCCGAATGCTAATGCTGGTAGTTAAAGAGCTTGAGAGTACAGTTTCTTTCCTTTTGGGTCTACGCATGATAGGGAGCAATGTCAAGCATAAAAGGGCTACAGCTTTTCTAAAATTAAATGCTTTCCACCCTCAAAGAGGTTTGAGCTACGTGTACCTTCAAAAATAAGCTTTCATTTGCACTTACCAGTCTATTGTCCATCCTCGTTACGGGACACAGATGTAGTTGGTGGTTCAATTGTTGTTGGCACACGAGTAGCTCTGGTTCTTCGCCTTCGCCGTCTACGCCGTCGTCGCCGTGTCACTTCTGAAGTTTGTGGCGGTGTAGTAGTTGGCAGAGTCGTTGGCATGCTACTAGTAGTTGGTGGAAGAGTAGACGGTTTGGGCGTTGGGGTAGTTGGCGTTGGCATTGGAATACAAAGCTGGTATCCTAACCTATCCATGTCTGGTGTAGGGATATAGCCAGCCACACATCGGCACTCATACCATGTTTTCCTTGCAGGACTGGGCTGGCACACAGAATGAACCTGGCACAAGTTCCCAGTGAGGCCAGTACCTAGTATAGTACAAATATCGCTACCCTTGATGGGTGCAGCTTCAGTGCACAGGGCAGCAGCCATGGCAAGCAAAACAAGCCTGATCCAGTGGCCAGAAACTGACTGAGCTGGCATTGTGCTTCTCAACACTGGCAGAAAGGTAGCCACGACTTATGTCACCGTGTCCTGTCAGTTTCAGTCCAACTAAAATAGTTACTTCCACAGCGTCAAAATCATAACTGCAAACAAACAAACAAATATCTGGAAACTGCACTGGTTATCACCGGTACATGACTGTACACCAAAATGTGATGAAGGCGTCAGCACTACGCCATGTGGCGAGGATCAGGGATGATTACGGAAAGAATCTCCGTAAACGACCATCAGTGCTTGCCCGCGCTCAGTAGGAGAACAAAGGCAGTCGACCGAGTTCGTTTCTTGAGCTTGAGAGGCAAATCATTTGTCGAAGATTATGAGTAGATCTACAATCGAATCTGCTGTCTTATCTGGCCAGTGGCCACGCGTGCACGGCCACGTGTGCAAGCTTGGTGGCGGGACAGGCGATGCGCCGTTTTGCGAAAAGTCGACGTTTAGCGGTAGTTTTATTATCCCAAATGCCAAAGCGCGGGAAAATTCAAATGCAAACAGCTGCATTTTGGAGACGTATTTTTTATCGACAGTCGGGCAGTCAATGCCAATTTTCTCAAGAAGAAGAGTATTCAGAGGCATTGTTGTGCATTTTCCGTTGATACTATACGTGTGCCCTAGTGTTTGCATGAGCGAGGGTGGTGGTTTTGCAAAACCGTTCGCATGGCGGGCGGGTTTGTAAGAAGAAAGGCTTCAGCCATTGACGAGCGACGAGAAGCCTGTCATTTCGTGCCATTTGAGTTAGCAGTAGCACCGGACAATACTGACACATGTCTGCGGCAGCAAACATAGTGTACTAACGGATCAAAAACAGCCACAATGTGTGTCACTGCGGAAACGGGCTGTAGAGGTGCATTTGCAAAGCTGCTGATTTTCATCGTCTTTCCATGCACAGGGTACGTATCATGCCCTTGGCATAGGCCAAAGCACGAAAGCTTTAGCTGGACACCACCCACAATCTCCACGTGGGTCCCAGTGTACCTGCTGCTGCCGATGAGAACCGCCCTATAAGCGGTTTACCCACCCATGTGTCCTCAATACGACTGAGAATACATCAGAAGTACGCCATAAGCATTGGAAACCTGTACAGTTGAATCCAATTTCGACCAGAATGACTGTATTGGTTGGAAATGCATTGCACCATTCCACTGAAACGTTAACACACAAGAACAGGAAAAGGATGTAACAGAAAACGAAAGAATGTAACACAAAAGATAATCCCAAACCAGCGGAAAAAAAGAACGTGGGAAGAAAAGCACTGTGGCTGGTGTAGGAAGCAAATACTGCAAATACTAGGCTAAACGGGAAGTACCAAATTATGTGGTTGTTGAGCATCTCAGAGTCGACAAAGGGATAACGGAATGAGAGAGACCGACTATTTTTTGTCAAAACTGTCACAAGCCAGCAGCTGGTGATTGTTGAGGAAGGTAGTTACACCACACTGACCGACACCACTGCTGTGGGTAATGATTACGTGCATCGATCATTGTGCAGCACCTGGCAGCAATAAACCAGACAAAGCAGTACAATACCATGCAGAAGATGAAATGCTTGACGGAGTATAAGTAGTAGCAGACAAACTGTTACACAATGGAGCAACATTATTTGCTATTAAAATGGCATAAATATATTATTACTTTGACGAATACCCGACACATAACATTCCCGCTACAAGCATTACTAACTCTACCGTCCCTGATGCAGGAGGGACTAGTAGCACACATTCCTACTGCATACCCCAAAGCTAAGAAAGGTGGCATCATGCTCATGTGAGCCGTTTGGGTACCACCCAAGCTCTGCACCAGGCTCTGTCCAGGTGCAGACACACAACCCTGGAGGACGAATGCAACCCCAAAACACGATGTAGTAAAGGGCAAGTCTATGGCCACAGCTGTCAAAGTTATCCACCAAATTGACCTACAGCAGGCCAATGTACAGTGGAGGAGAGTACCGAGAAACTAAGAATAAAGGACTTATTGCCTGTTTGTCAGACTATCCACCCCAAGCTATGGTCATGAGGGTGGACAATATTGGATGGTGACAATTCCACCTCGCTCTCGATTTCTCCCCTGGAATGAAGCTTCACACACATACCTGTAGTACCTGTGGTGTCTACAAGTAGTATAAACAGTCCTTCACTTACTCCACTGCTTTCTATAAAAGCCTGTCTTATGCAGAAGCCTGTTCTGAACACAAGCCTGAGTTCCAAGATAGGCAATTAGCACAATAGTGTGGATTTTGCATCGGCAACCATAAAAAGTTTGGTTTGACTACAAACATAATGCAACATAATGTAAATAGAGGCCTAGCCACCACACCGGCTTCTACAGAAATACGCCTGGCTTTCATAAACGACATTACAGTAAGCACTCACCCACTTCAGTTGGTGCTTGCAGACGTGTTAGACACATACAGCCAGTCAAGTACACTTGCAGGGATCTTTTCTCAATGGGGAGTAACGGCTGGCCATAATACCTACAATACATACAGAATGACAATGGTGAACATAGCAAAAGGGAAAGGCATTCAAGACCTGCAGCTCCATGTATACATGCCGAGTGTAAGCGTGGTGTCTGTGGACAAAATCGACAAAGAGGTACCCTGGCAACAAAATGTAGTGCCAGGATGCCAGCAGAAGGCTACGTGGCACACCAGTCCAACATGTAAATCAACTACCATCCAGTTGTCACATTAGAGCCCAATTGTTGAAGTTCCACGGCCATTTGCCTGCCACATGCCAATCACAAGCACTGAGGAAGAAACTGAGACAAAGCGACGTCGAAGCAAAACACTAACACAGACAGGCGGGTTCCCCACACAGTGAAACTTCAGTATAAAGTACTAGTAGTACCAAGAGTCCATGACGTCAAGAGTATGCGACTGCACGTGGGTTCTGGCACTGCGCTCGGCCCACATTACGTATCCACGAACTGGGGAATCAGCCCATAGTCCGCAAATCAGAGTTGCACGCTTGTGGGTTGTGGGGTTGGGTTATGCAGACACCTGACAGTATGGATATACATGTAACATACTACGGGATATAAAGTACTTGTACTATTATGCAGAACCTTGCACCATGCAATACGCTATATCGGTACAGACCAATTATTTGAAAGGTATTGGAGGTTTGCTATACAGTGTACTGAAGTATCACTGCGATGCTGAATTGCCAATACATGTACATACATGTAGTGGAACATGAAGCTGTACAACCAGTTGACGTGTATTTGTGACGAAATCACACTACGACTGCAAGACTCAAAATGTGAACAAACATGTAATTTGATGGGGATCTTTCACCGAGGAGTCAGGTGATGGCGGTGCCGTAAAACCTACACGTGGAATTCAGCTGAACTGGAATTGTTGTCTCTGGAGTATTGCTTAATATAAGCAACAAATCTACTATCAACTACCCACCTCTTCAAGGTAGGGATGGTGAAGAACCAATGACCTAGTCATGGTGTGGGGCTCTGACAAACATCTTGCAGCAGTCAGACAGCCTGTCACAGGCCTGACAAAAGGCTGTGGGTGCAAGTCCTGCTGCAGGATCATACAATGCGAGTGCAAAAAAGCAAATCTGTTATGCAGGCCAGGGCTAAAATGCCACACTTTCAACAACACCTCCGCGAGGGAAGAATCCAACAGTTCCAGTAAGCAAAAAGTTGTTTAATTTGAGGAGACTGAAAAGCAAGAAACCAGCAACGAATTGGACCAAGATTGAGTCAATGTGCACACAGGTGATGCGTGCGTGTTATTGTTTACTGGAATTATGGCGTATATGCTAGAAACATGGAATGCACTACGAATTCTGACCTGAAATACACAAATATACACATTTGCCTGAGTTTCAATGAGCATGGATAGATGTGGAACACAATACTTCCACTGGAAATGGTGATATACCGGGAACACAATCCATCTGCTGCTAGATGGGCGAGAAACTATTGTAACCTGGGATATATTGAAACTTAGGTGTGATGAAATGTCACTTTCGTGGATTTTACACGTATTACAAAAAAATTCTTTCATTTCGTGCCATTTGAGTTAGCAGTAGGTCTGGACATAGACATGACCAAATCTTTACACAGGTTGGTTGGGACTATCTTTCTGCTATCTCGGATATTGTGTAAGATTTGATGGAGTCCATTACTGGCTGAATACCAAAGAAGGGAGGAAATTTCTACGACTGTACTGTAAGAAAACGACGACACGAAACTTCCCAATGGCTCAATAGCCGACCACAAAAATATTACGGATTACTTTAGTACTTACTCAAGTCACATCGAATTCCTTATCGGCGGGCTCCAGGCTGTGAAACGCCTCCAGTGGGTCTGAAAGTTCGACAACGTCAGCCATTACTTCTTCACGGAATCGTCATCTTCACCTCTGCACAAAATGAGCTGACCGGGATAATAAAAAACGGCTTTTTTTCGCTCTGGCGCATCGACTGGGGACTCGAGGCGGCCCGAGGCCATGCGCCGAGCTGCGCGAGGCATGCAGATCGCATGATAAAAATTAGGGCCAGCTAGGGCGCGTAGGGGGAAGTCCGGATCGGAACCGGAAGCGATCGCCTTCTTTTAAAATTTTGTACCAGGGAGTCGTAAAATACCGGTATTTACGACTCCCTGTTTTGTACGATTGGTGTGTTTGTAGATCTACCATACGATTACGAGCATGTACTTGTGTAGTCAGCAGCAGGGAGTAGTACAATACCTATTGTATATACACAGAAGCCTTGCTTGGTAGTTTAACATGTTTTTTCGATTTTGACAGCATGTTACAAGGCATAATGTACTACTCCCTGGTCAGCAGTACCGGAGGCACAGGCCATCCCGGAAATCTCCCTTGGTCAGGGTGAAACCATGGCGGTTGAGGGGTCGGCAGGTCAGCCAGCTGGATGCACCCTTTTCTGAGGCCAGGTCGAGAACATGGGCCAGCTCCCGGTGATCCGAGCGAAGGGCGTCAGCCATAGACTTGGACGCGCTCCGCTTCTCAGCACGAACCGTCGCCTGGACCGTCCGGAGCTGAGTCAGAGAGTCGCCAAGAGACGGCTCCTGCTCCAGCAGGCGAGACACTAGGGCGAGGCTAGCCGTGATCCTTCTGGATGAGCCAATCCGCTGGTTAGCACGGGAAGCTAAGGAGCGGAGGTGGAAGGAGTCAGGGTGTCGTCGAAGGTGACTCCCAGGAGTTTCAGCCGACTCTCTTCACTGACCGGTGTGCCATTAAAATAATGTTGCTCGAGGGAGCTCCCAGGGCTGGCGATGGTGGCCTATAGACATAGCCTGCGTCTTGGAGGGCTCAAATTTGATCCTCCACTTACGTCCCCAACGGGA